AGTAAGATTATGTTTTTTCTAATTGCTGGTTATTATTAACTTACGGATGTACTATTAATTCAAAAATATTTTGATCGATATCCAGATTATAACACTATAATACAAACTACCTGGGTATCGCTAACGAAAATTCTTGTTTTGAAATAAAAATGATTTGAGTTCATTATGTATCAAAGGACAATTATTGATATGTGGGAATAACATCTTAAGAACAATTTCATTCAGACTACTTACAATTTGAGGATTTCATTAAGGAAAATAATTGAATAAAAAAAATATCTGTGAACTAACGTAAGTTTTTCGTAACAATATGGATATTTTTCGATACGAATCATTTTTCTAGAGATTTAGAATACGAAACGCGCTCCTGTAAAGTTCCAAAAATATCGCTCAATATATTTTGCCCGAGAACCCTCGATAAGTTAAGAGAAATGACTCAACATAGTACGAGATATGTCGAGTGTCGTTTTTAAGAGTCTAGCGCCTGGAAGATACATTATTTACTGTGTTTGGCGTTGCGTCTCGCAAATCGAGAACGCTGTTGAATATTACATAGTATGAACGCTTTTGATACCTAATAACTATTTCAGTGCTAATACAATGTCAGCGGTCCCAAAATTCTCTGGCATCCGCGCCTAATGGTTGATCAAGGCTATTATTTATATTTAGGTATAGTACTTATTACTTATGTAATGCAAGGAAAATTTGTTGTGATAAATTTGTAAATTACCTATTAGAGTTCTGATGTAATTATTTATAAAATACAAGTAAGATAGTAAGTTAAAATAAGCACCTACTACGTTGTTATAAAGTTTGCCTGCGATTAGTTAGGTAGATACTCTTTGTAGCGAATGACATGTCATGTTTAATGTGCAAACGAACGTTTGTTGTTCAATTATCGCAAAATTGCGACAATTATAATATGGTTCGATAAAACGTTTTACACTTACGTCGGCCTTATTTAATTCGAGATTTTTAAGGTAGTAAGTAGGTACAACTGTTGCACTCAAGTGTAAGCAGCTATATCAATCGTGATGGAAATAAATATTAATATCAACAATTTTTATACAATAATGAAAACACACAAATATACAACAATCTTAGAAACAAATTAACGTTAACTAACGACAGTATTAACATAAAATGGTTTATAATACTGGACGTACTGCTAAACAACTGAGAAACAAGTAAGTGTTTAGTTTCGATTTCATGAAGTTGGAATTATATTTAGTCCGACTCGAACCGCTCCCAGCGGATTGTCTCTATATATTTACTATAGGACTGATTATATTAGTCCTGTCCCGTCTGTCTTCGGAATGTATGAAACCGATTCACCTTCTCAGGACTGTAAATACGGGTTATATATAATTCCTGCTTAAATATGACCTTTTTATACCATTTGAAGTCTATGTGGTGTGATATTTGCTGTTATTGCATAGAGCGTTTGCGCAGTCATATACAATTTTTAATTAAAAAGATTCGTTTTATATTCTTCGAGAATACAAAATGAGTGCACAAGCGTTCTATCGAAGAAAGAGGAAAATGTCTTGCTTTATCGATTTATTTCCATCAACTATAAACAGACATATCTTATCTATCAATAATATGATGTTATTTAAGAAATTACGGACGAAGATAACAGAACCTTATTAACTATGAGAAAATCTACAGTAGGTTATTGTAATGTTTGGGCAAAAATTGTAGGTAGTTGTAGGTAATAGACAAAAATAATATTTAATAAAATAAAATACATCAGCTGTATACATTTTAAAACGCTTTCAGTGTTTTTAATGAAAATTATAAATGCTCATTTAGAAAACTGTATTTCATTATGACTCAAGAAGGCATTATCAGAGGATATTATTATTACTAAATCGTGCTATTATCACTAATACATCGATAATTAAATAAATCACATCGGACTTGATCCAATCTCTACCAAATATTCGATAGAAAAAGCATATTTCAAAAATCAGTGCTTGAATCTAACCTAGTGATATTACTCGTCATTTTTTTAAGATACGAACTTGGTCGTGAAAATTTTATATCTACTATGAAATCGAATTAAATTTTATAAGAGATAATATATATACAATACTCTATACGAAGGCCTCCAGTATAGTATATAGGTACAAGATATTAATAGGGTATATAATAGGAAAATATCACTAATTAAATTAATTATTAATAAATTGGCGTAGGTAGGTAACATTAATTTTTAAGGTCATTATTCTATTTGGGTGTGTAATATTTATTATTTAAGAAATAATCGCAGATACACGATGAATGTTCGAAATCAAGTCTGATACCTATCTACCACGTGTGCACTTGGATTATACCTATTAGGTACGAAATAAAGAATTTCAGGAAGAGAGAAAATAAATTACTAGCCTAAAGTAGGATAGAGAATTATATAACTTTCTTATCGACAATGCCAAGAAAATTTGATAAGCACACACGCAGTTGTTCTTCAAACAGAAACTATAGAATGTTCTCCGATATTCCCAGAAATATTGAAAATTTGAATACCAAATATTGACAAAATTTACACTAGCGAGAAACACGAATCTTACAAAGTATACACAACAAGTAAGTATCTACAATCACAAACGAGGGATCTCACAAAACGGCATTAAGGTGTACATCATTCTCGCTTACAATAAAATGAACTACTTTTTACATTATGACCATAATTCTCACAGCTTTGTCTTTCATTGTTCGCTTGTCAGCGAGTAGTACGAGTAAATTCGTTAAACACTAAACTATCAGATACATATCTATTAATAGAGGTATTGGCATTACAATCACAAATAACACTTAACGACATCGATTCGTGCCAATCATTCGAGAGGCGACAGCCAGAGTCAAATTATAATTTTACAACCATATTGTTGCCTGGAATTCGGCAGGGGGCTGTTTTGTTGCAAAAGTTCCGCTCGACATGACAAAACCGATTGGAACTATATTATCTTTACTTATTTGATGGTGCATAACATACACAAACATAAATACTTAATTAGGTAATGATGATCGATCTCACAAAACATAATATTACCTAATACAACAAGTTTTCGATATAAAACTAAGCAGACAATATAAAAAACATATCCATACTTCTACATAATAGAGTCAAATCAAGATATTGAGATCATAATAATAATTAAAAAGCTGATTATATCAGCATTTAAATTAACACAGCGGCACATGAATTTTAGTCTTTGACTATTTCTAATCAGACATATGCACTACGAAATATTATTGCAATCGGAACCTGCAACAAAATAATTAGGAAAGTAGTTTTAAGTAGATAAGGCCTATCAATTATTCAATAAAACACTACTCATATCTTTCATTAAAACTGTAGAAATTATCAGAAAAATAGACAGTTAATTAATTAAAACGTCACGAATACAGATTCACTCGAATTACACAAAAGTCAAGAAGGCAACACAAGAAGGCGCGCTGGTAAACTCCAAGTAAATCTAATAATTTTAGAACAACAGTAGATACTTTTTATATGTCAGAATAATCTAATCTAACTTTAGGACAAGTTCAAAGGTTTTTAACGTCATAAATAACTCAAAAGAAACAATAGTAGACACACCATAACAAAAAGAAGATTTTTCCAATTCTGTGCACAATAAATTTTCAGTCATGTCAAACTTTAAGACTTTTGGACGCAACGATGTTATCTCATTGTTCGGACGTGTTACATTCCCTTTCGTTCGTGAACATCTTCTTCGTAACTTTGTAAATAGATTCACATTTTCGACTATTCACAGAATTTCATCCTCTATACGACTGCTTACAAATAAGGCGTATAAAGATTAGGGTCCCTTAGATTCATTTCAAAATTAAAAAAGTTCAGTAAGTAGGTAGGTATTTTTTTGTTAATAGGACACAAATTGTTTTACATAAATACTTTGGAGTAATACTTCAATACCTATATTCGTTTTAACAAGAAACTTAATGTGAAAGACTAATAGGAATTAAATTAGAAAAAATTAAGATCTACGAATAGTTAGTTATATAGTTTGTCTAATTACTTATGATTTTTTTTAATAATAATTTATCTCCAACGGTAAATAATAACAATACAAAAATAAATCTATAGTAAATTAGGTATTTTTTAAGTAGTTAATCTATTTGCTTGTTTCGAAGTAAATCATACTACAGAAAAATCGATTTTCATAATAGAAGGTTGGAGTAATAGGTGCGTCAGAACTGATATTTATGATAATCAAACTTGCACGTACACTCACTTTTCCATATAAAGTTATTTTACAAATATTTTTTTTTTTCTCTGTGAGCTATAAAATTTTTCTTGGAAAACAATGGGAATATTAATTAAAACGAATACAGGATTGATACTTCTCAATACTTCGCGTTTTATTCGTTTATATTCACTCTATAAATTGTTCAATGAAATACTCAGTAAAGTCCAAGCTCATATTCAAGTGTAAGCATTAAATATTTAGAATAGTATTTTAAATTCAGAGAGGATTTCATAATTTTTTATTTATATAAATAGTATATAGCATTTTTTCTGCTTTAATGGTATACTGCGTGTTTATAATTCATGTTACGAGAATAAAAATGAAAAAAAAAACATTCGTAGGATGAATTTATGTTTGCTTATGTTTACAGTTAACCTTCTTTTTCCGTAAGCTCTACATATTATCTGTGTAAATGCACTCCGAAATTGTACTTGAGATGAACAAGGTTAATTAATATTTGTCGGTAAATTGACCCTATTGTATATAATAATTAACTACGTTGTACCTGTAATATTTAGGCGATCTACGTATTGTATCCAAAGAATAGAACTTTATATCTTTTGGAAATTTATTCACATGCACGAAAATAGTACCTAAAGGTTTGTAAGTACGTTATAATTTACTCATCGTATTATTATGGGTTGACTTTTCAATCCTCAGATCAAATGTATTATATTTACCTATAGGTACTGCCTATTTAGTTGGGTAAGAAGTATGAATGCTACAAAATATAGTTATTAATAGAAAAGAAGAGGAATCAGTATGTGGATGTGATTTTTATTTGATTGGGAAAGATAAGTAGATATTTGAGGATTAAAAAATCGATCCCCATATCACCCTAAGAGACTGTTAAATGTTTCTAATTAATATAGTAATATCGTCAAATCAGTTAAATAATGCGATAATTTTACAATAATAAGTTTCGTAATATTTAAAGGCTAATTATATTCGATACCTATATTATATAATTAATTTAGAATTAAATTACAATATTATGATTTATTAAATGGAAAACAGTCACAAGATAGGCATTATGAATATCACTTTGGTGTAGGAGTATAAGTCCAGTAAAACCTTATAATTTATCCCTATGGTGTACTCGCCTTAAGTCAATTTTTTCTCGATGAAGTCTCTTAGCGACTTTTTCTTCAAACAGCAGTTTCTAAGTCTTCGGAGACTAATTGGAAATGCTCTTGACCTGAAATAAAATACGCGTTTCAGCAAACAACTTTAGAGAGAACTCGAAGACTGCCCGAGTTTCAAATTGACGGAGCCTAGAGGGACGTTTGGAAAAACATTAGCGTATTTGTGTTATTCATAAATTGAACTCTATGCATTTGCAGCAAGGTTGAAAATTAATTTAAAAAAGCCAATGCCCGTGTATCCGTAAAAGGGTTAGATCGGCTTGTGTTTCAGATTAATAGATGACACAGGTGGCGTCATAGCACAATAAGCATTGGTATAAAAAAGGGTGTTTTACTTTAATGTGTTACCTAGCAGGTATCATTGTAAAGGTATAGCCACAGTAATGACATAACTAACAGTTTTCTGCTTAATAGGGTATTTATTCTTTGTATTAGGCTAAAAGACCGAAATGAGTGGTTCAGAGACAAGAGCAAGGTCAAAGACTTTACGCGTTATGTAATGGCAATGTGCTGGTCAGAACGCCAGAAATAACAATTCGTGGCGTAAGGTGATTGCGGAAGACCAAATACGCATTGGTACGACGATACAAAAAGAGCAGCTGGAGTAAAATGGATGGAAAAGCCCAAAATCGGATCGAACACCCCTTCTAGAAGATAGCTAAGCGGAAGATTATTATATATAATACCAACTCACTCTCTAAATACGCTGCCAGGTCGTGGTCCTCGGCTCTAAGTGCTAGATGACGTGGAGTGAGACCGGCGTGATCTTGCCTGGTGAGTGAGGCGCCACCGGCGACCAGCATACAGCAGATCGCACGTCGCTTGTGTGCGGCGGCTTTATGTAGAGCCGTTTGTCCACGTTCATTGTCCCTCATGTTCAATATAGCGGTTGGCGCACACGCTATCAGGTACTTGACGATCTCCTTGTTGCCATATCTAGCAGCGATATGAAGGGCGGTTTGCCCGCTCGCGTCGATCGATAATAGTGAATAACCCGCCGCGTGCAGTTCTTTCATCTACATGTAGCGTATTACAGTTTTATAAAAATTGTATATATATTTAATAAAATAAGTAAATTATAACTGCATTTTTAACTATAATTTAATATAATAAAATGAACATTTCTACCAAAAACAATCCTACTAAAAACATTTTTACGTAAAATGTTGCCAAAAATTATATCACGCCTTGGGAGGGGTAGATGTTGACGAAGTATGACATTAGAAGAATCTTATATAGAATTTGTATAAATTTGTGGATGGCCCCAGACCAAGACCATGTGACTCGCAAAATCAGATCCTGTGTAGAGCCAACATTCTAACTCTACATGTCCTATATTTACAAGCTATCTTCATGAATTCTATACCTTAGTCGAAACATATGGCTTTTGGTGTTTCGCTATTGTCACATGGGCGTAAGGTGAAAATTTTTTACATTGTTCAGAATTTTGTTTATAATGTTATTATGGAAACTTTAGTTATGAGGGTTAAATAAAAAAATATATGTGTGATTCAAAAAACGCTGAAGCACTTCTAGAAAAGATGATCTTGCGTTTTGTTTGGCTTATCCTGGGGAGCTACCACCGTGGTCACAGATTTCGTTTGCAGTTTACCCTCGTCACGCTTCACTGAGAAAATGAAGTATTGAAATCTCTTTGATGACAAAAGCAGATAAACGAAGTATTTATATTTAGTCGTTAATCAGCGTGTAAATTTATCGTGAGTGGAAACGAAAAACGAACGCACATAAAAGGTCTGCAGAACTTAACGAGGTCTCATTATAAAATAAGCAACACAATCAGGCGAGCGTTTTACAAATATAGTGTTTTGTTTACCAGCTAACCGATAGAGGAATTTGATTGAAATGACTCATTCAATATATCCTCATATGATATTTAATGTGGGCAGATATTTATATTGATTTGCCTTTGCATAGTTAACTGTCACATCTATAAGTGATGATGAAATAATGATATACTATTTCGGAAGGAATTTTTAAGTCGTTTAAAATAGCCATACCAACATTTTGAAAGTTGGATTGAAAAAACAACATTTTAAAAATTCCAATTATTATAACGCGTCACATGAAAGCATTTAGTAAAACGGTAATTTATGGATTTTCTACTAGTTCACCCGCTAGATGTTTGGTGATCTGATAATTTCCATAAAGTATTTTAAATTCTTTTCAAATTCTCAAACGAACATTTTGACGTTAAAAATTCGATTCGGTTCCAGATATCAACTCATACGTTTATCAATTTTATTTTTCTATGGATACAAACGTTTATTTAATTGAATATTCTTATAAAGTGCTTAAAGGTATTTCTCTAATCATGGTTTAGCCTAAAAAGAACAATAGATTTTTTCGAAAACTACTCTTTTAAATACTACCTACATGGCATGGTAATGTAACGGCGATGTTAAGATCGGTTCGGTTAGTGCAAATCTGACGCAAGACACGTTAGTTTGCTACGGATAATTCGTCAAGGTTGAAAGTTCGTTTTTAATTTTTCGAGATAGTTATAGTTTTTAACGAAATCGTGTATAACTTGTCAAATAAGGTGTTCTACGACCTACGACACGTGACGCATCTTTCATGCATCAGATATGCACATGACCGTTAAAGTATATTTCTCTAATAAGGATCTATTAAATTTCTCTTACCATTTTCAAGTCACCTACTTTGGCCGCTTTCAATAGAGTGTCAGATGTTTTTTCAAGTAAATTTCTGAAACAATATCAAACGTTGAAGCCCGAGTCGACAATAAATACGCATCAAAAAAAAAAACAACAATACTACTATTAGATGTACCTAACAATTAATTGTAAAAATATTTATATAATACTTACAAATATTTACATTTACGACCTTAGGATCTTCTAGTTATGGTTTATCACTACAAAAACTATAGGAGAAAAGAGTATTCGTATAACCTCACCTAAAGCCAAATACTTCTTGGTCAAGTCCAAAAAGTTTTTCATGTATGCTGCATGCAATAGAAGAGAAGATGAAATAGAGTGCAAAGTACACAATCTTGGGTGCATCGTGCGTTAGAAATCAAACCATCTAAAGATCACACCACTCTCATACAAGTCTATGTATTTGTTTTCTAGAAAACTAGAATATCATAAAAGCGTGCATTTACTAAAACTATATTATAACATCTCCAAATAGGACTTATATTGGTTTTTATATTCAACATCATGTTAAATGTACTTATATTGGATTAGATATTTTTAAAATTTCATGTCTCTAAATGAAAAAGAGTAAAAGACCATTGACGTGTTTGTCTGTTTGCATGTCCGTATGTAACAGATGATTGCTCCGGAACTCTGGATAGATTATGTATGATACGTGACATGTCACAATTGGGGAGTAAATTAGAAAAATATAATCAAACTATACACATGCCGTATTCTTTTTTGTTTAGTCTTATTAATATTTTGTAATAGAGTCTAATGCTAATGAATGATAATCCTCTGTTCTGTGGCTTTTATCTCATTACTTTGTTCATTACATTAATAATTCAATATTAATAAGAGACCTCTTATTATAAATGATAATTGCTATGACATGCATAATTAAATTAACGCATATCTTACACATGGAAATTCTTATAAGTACTTATCATACAGTTATCGCACTAACCGCTCGATATTATAATCTTTGAAATACTGGTCAATAGGACTACTAGGTATGATATAAAAAATTTGTCTATTTATGAAGATACGCAAGTGTATAAAAATAATTATTTTTTGTGTGTTATGTCACATAATATCTTTTCAGTTCCAATATGATGACAACGTTATATATTGCATGCTATTTTATAATAGCTATGTGGCATACCTTTCAGGATCATTATCTCAAAGTAATCGTTAATTAGTATAATTAATGATGTAATAACAATTTAATCACTCAATACAAATTTACGATGCCTAAGCGTCATTTGGCTTAGTGCATATGTACTGTACGTATTCGTTTTCTGAACATATTTCAGAGATAGTTAAAGTCATTAACGAAATCGTGTATAATCCGTGGAATTTGAAATTTAGCTCAGGCAAACATAATGAATACTGTTTGCACGATACTAGTATAACAACAGTGAAACGTGAGATAATCTATGATAACATCGATGCTTGTAACGAGCTGTAAATCTCACACGGCACACCTAATATTCAGAATTTGTAAACTTACGTTTTGAATCGTACAATCGAGTCGTGAGTCGCTTGGTGCTCCTTTGCTGGTGGACTTGTGCAGAGCGGCGGTGAGTTAGATTCTTGTGTAGTTATTTTAGGAGACGCCGGTTGGGTTTTAGGCGTTACTGGGACTGGTGTCCTGCTCGGCGGTGTTGGGGCACGCATTGGTACCGGAGGTGGTGTCTGGGGTGTGAGTAGCTCCTCAGATGTTCGCGCTGGGCTGCCCAATCCTGATTCACTGTTCAAAAATCATTTGAAAATTTCTGATAAACTAGGATATACCTAAAACCAGCGCTTCATGAATCAATAAGAAATAATTAAGATTCGAACTTCCTTATTTATCACATTGCCCTGATAATGTAAATATTGTTATGTGATGTTCGGGCAATTTGATAAAAATATACAATACACAGGTACATTGCAAGGGGCGCAGAGAGAAGAAGAAACAAGGAAAGACAGTAATTGATTCTACGGAGAGACTCGTTGTTCAGAAACAAAGGGATTTAAATCCATAAAACCAACATAACAGGTAATCTACTTTTATAGGCTATGTGATATCTGTGGATAGAAAAACAAAACACAGAAAATTGCCACGCCTCGCTGCCATAAATAGTAGACAAGTTTCCGCTCGATACATTATCTCGGCGTTCTTTTTATATATTTCAACTGAAATATTATATAAATATTTCATTATTATAAACTTTTATCGGTACGTGTAATAAATGTCGTTCACAAGCATTGATTACAGAACATAATATCTATGCTATCGCTCATTCTCTGATATCCAATCGTTTAATATCACAAACTCGATAATATTTATAAGAGACAATACGTCAACGAACAGCACTTAAGATGATAGCGATTCGGATATATCGATCAAGAGCTAAATGGGTCAATTGTAGAAATGCATGTAGATATTTATTTATGTCAGGCGAGTGTGATAAATATATTAACTGGAATTCATCGGTGATTAGATAACATGCGGATGATGCGCTGTAGCTTAATCCAGCCAGATAACATCATATAGATTGATCGTGTCAAAATTATTTTTAGTTATTATTTTACCTTAGAAAGTGTAAATATAACTATAGAATAAAACCAAAAAATATGTTTCTCTGTCAATCAATATGTAGTGAGATAATGTTTTCAAATCACTGGTTGCTCACAGGATGTAGATCGGAATTCTTTGTTTAACATTTGGTATACGTTTAATTATAGAGAAAATGCTGGCCAATTTTCGTAAAAAAGGAAACTAAGAAAGATGGATATCTTGGGCTTCATTCTCCACGTTCGGAGTGCGCACACTGAAGGTAGTGTTGCAGGAATGGAAAGAAAGTAGGCATGGGTGTCTCACTTTTTAGGTGGTGCAGATATTTACCGGGCATGGGTGATTCGTTAAATATCTGTACCGAATCCAAAGGTGCCGATGACATAGCGCAGCACACTCTAGAGGTGAGCAGCGCGTGGGTTGGCAGCGTCACAGTTAGGTCGCGGTAGTAGGTTAAGACCTTGCTATGACGCTGCGGGTACAGATTGATCGGAGAATTAATGTGACATTTGTATCAAAAGAAACTTTATGTGTATCTATGATCTACTCATTAAAATTTTTATAATAGTTACAGTGTTAAGGCATGGCCTAAAGACATGAGATGAGAGAATATAAAAAAACGCGCCCGTCGATGAGATAAATAGGGACAGAGGGTCGAAAACTATCTTAATTATTATTCGCAAATCAGGTTACCATCTGAAGCGATAAATCCCGGCTCGATTGGATTTGAAGTATTTAGACCGGATTCTGTACCGGTTTTTTTGTTGTTCTATAATTATCCGCTGCGCCCACTGCGTCCTGCGACGCTTCCCTAACTCAGAGGATACAGTGGGCGAAAGAAAGAAATAAACAGTAATTAAGATTACTCACACTTTGTATATAATTACCTACTTCATATATATTAAACTTCTACTTCATATAACATCAATATTTGACATGTGTTAAATTTCAGTGTAAACTTTCTTCAAAAACTAGCTTTTTGATAGCTGTTGCTAAACTAGTGCCTACAGCAATAAAAAAAAATTAAAGTCATAAATGATACAATTGAGTTAGTGAGTTTTATTTAAAGAAAAAGACAAAAGGATATCTGCCCTGGAATTGCTACTTGCAAACTATTACTATTATTGGAAAACTTCTGCTATAAAATTACTTACATATTTATATTTTATTCTATAATAAATTAAAAATAGAGTAATAATAAAATAAAGTGGATTTTAAAGGTGATTTTTTTGTATATCTATTGAGAAAATTTTATTGATTCATAAATTTGACCTAATCAATATCCTTACATAGGCGTGATGTTGTTTTCTCATTTTCTATTACAGCTTGTTATTTTTTATTCGGTTTTTTTATCGTGTCGTCTAGGTAAAAGCGACTTTTTCAGACAAAACGATAGAGGACCCTGTTGTAATGTGGTAGCTGTATTTTAAACAAGGGTCGGGTCATGGGTGGCGTAAATAAATTGGTTACGTATGCGGGCTTTTTAATAGCTGGCTAGGCTTGTCTATTTAACAAATTATTCAACCCCAAAACTTAGCAGCTTGTGCTTTGGATTCGTAATAAATAACGGATGGAAATTCAACAACAACTGTAGAAATCTTTAATTGTTCAAAGTTATAAAATTAAATTAACTAAACCGAATAAGGAACTTGTTGCCCAGCACCGATATTCACACCCATTTTGGTTCTTAAAAAATGTCACATAAATAAGACTATGTCAAGTGTCTCACGAGCACGACCCGATCTCCTTCGTTAAACTTAACAACTTAAAAAAATAATGCATAGCAATCTCTTTCGATATTTCACAGCCATTAGTGAAATAATTTTAACAAAGAAATATGTCGTGGATTCAGTATGCTATTACATGCGATAGCGTTTCATTTGGCTAGTAAAGAACTAAATAGTTACCGTATTAAAGAAATATCAAAGAAATCCTGATGAAGAAGTTGTAAATCCGGCTGCTCCGATGTATCGGTAATAGTAATTTGTAAATTCCTATAATTTTATTAACTTAATTATAATTATAAATGTGGTTTACCTGGCATGAGATTCGGGTACATCAAGCGATACTCCAGCGCTCGGCGTGTCGACACTTTGTGAGATGTCGAGTGAGACAGACAATCCTGTGGTGGTGTCGAGCGAGACAGATGGGCCTGTGCGGTCTAGCGACGCGGTGGCGGTTGTGTCTGGGTGTGCGGTAGACTCTGTGTCTGGTGTGAGTGGTGCCGCGTCCAGTATATAGATGTTCTCGTGGCCGATGTCCGTCGGGTAGTGGAGGTTCTCTTGAGCTTTGTCGATACGGAAGAATCGCTCTGCTGTTACCGCTGTTAATAACAATTAAATGAGTTAATGAAAGTTGTATAATATTAAATGAGTTAACCCTCAAAAATAATTAATGTAACTAATAATAAAGCCAGATGTCAACTCGCCGCGGATCGCGGATCGAACCAAGCGCAAACTTTTTGTAGAAACTAGGAATTCGCGAATGCGAAGGCGCGAAACTTACAGATCGGGTTTTTACAGCACGCTAAAGTTCAAAAACAATCGTCAATAGGTATTCTGCTTATCTATAGATATTAATATTATAAAATAATTCTATTGTTTGTTTGTAGGCGTTGAATGAGCTCTAAAGGTACTGGTCTGATTTCAAAAATACTTTCACCTACGAATACATCACACGCGGGTGACAGTTTATAATATATACGAGCGAAGTTTGGGGAAAACAGCAAGTATATATAAATCTAAATGAACATCTAAATAAATATTGTTTGGAAATTTTTATGTTAAACTAAGGCTTTTTCTTTTAAGGTTGGCATTTATATAATAATATGTGTTACCCTTCTTTACTTTCATTATGAAAAACATTAGTTTTTTAAGTATTACTTACTTAAGTAAAAAAAAAGTCACATAAATGCTAATAATAACGGCATCGCCCGAGGAAAGCAAGATCGATTCCACTAAAAAGTTTTTTAAAGTTTTGTAGTTAAATTGATATGTCAGTGCAATTCAAAAACGTACATCTAGGTTTCTAATTAAAAACACACCCGAATGGTTCCGTTTCACTTCCACAACGTTAACATTAACTTTATACAATTTGTTTTAGCAGAATTAAATCGAATAGGAGAAAGTTCTTTGTTCGACGGGTATGTATTTAGTAAGTTACCGATTCCTCCGGGAATTGTATAACAATTTTCAAAATTTCTTCTTTTAGTTGGATTGAATTCGGTATGAAAATTGCATTAGGAACCAAATATCAGAAATCATCTTTTCAATGATTAAAAATGAAGCCCTATCTCCCTTGGTCACGCCATCGCAATTGAAAAGCTAATATAAGAAAATTTCAACCACCACCACCAAACCACCATTTGATTTTATTTCTAATTTTATCTTAGTGCTTTGGATAATATGAACTTTTTAATGTAACCTTATGATGTTTGACAGAGAATTGACAGAGTGCAAAAATTTTTAAGACAGGGCAATGTTTGTCGGGTCAACGAGTATGCAAAATATATAAAATAGATATTCATATCATAACATGTATTTTGCTTTCCTATGATTAATTTCTTTATGTTACACTAAATATATCATCATCATCATCAGCCTTTTTTACGTCCCCACTGCAGGGGCTCAGGCCTTCCTTATGGATGGTTAAGGCGGATGGGCCATGACCCTCCACGCTGGCCCAATGCGGATTGGAGGGTATTAACAACTGCAAAATGCAGCCGGGACCAACGGCTTAACGTGCCTTCCGAAGCACGAAAGAGCTCGAGATAATAATTTTTGGTCACCCATCCCATGACCGACCCTTGCGATAGTTGTTTAACGACAACGATCGCGGGCCGCGGCGCTTATCCACTACGCCACTGAGCTACTCAATAATATTATATATATATTTTTTAACAAAAACTTGAAAAATAATATGTATTTAAAAAGCTCCCATTGAAATCGAGCGGTTATTATTTATTATTACCAACCTACAAAATCTCCGCCTGACACAATGTCGTTTTATTATTAGGCACCTTAATACCGAACGTTATTGAGTTTTAAAACGGCGTAAACTTTATCGTGGTAGCGTTACATTATATACAATACAACTATAAAGGGCGCGAAGAATGCAACTAGTTATCTTTCTATAAGAATCATACAGCATTCCTCTTGTTAGAACGAGATAAACATACTTGCTTACCATTACGTACCAATCTCCTCTAGTCGAATAATGTCGAGTTTAGTATTTATAGTATTATTATTGAGTTTAGTATTATTTGTAAGAGTTAAACACCGAAAAATGGTCGCGTTCAAAAGAGTTTATTTTTTTTATTAAAATAAAAAAGAGTAAGTACAGTAGTTAACCATGAAATGATATCTTTTTTGCTTTCCTCATCATCAATGTGTAATTTGTGCATTGATTAAACGAACAGGAAGACATTTTTTGTTGTCAATGTTGTGCTCAGATAACCGATCTAAAGTTTTAAATACATCATTGGCCTGACATCAATAAAATTTCATGAACACATGAATTGCTTTCAAGATGAGTTTTACTTCCAAAGTTTTCGAAGTCGTATTTGTTAAAAAAATTACTACCTAACTATAATTATACTCCTGCATAACAACTTACGGTCAGTTGCACAAACGTCCATTAAGGTTTAATGACTCCTTTAAACTCTAATGAATGTCAAATTTGTATGGGTAATGTCGCTTTAAACTAATGGAAATCTTAATGAACGTTTGTGCAACTCGCTGTTAATATAATAAATTAATTTCTGTTATTTATATAATTAAAACGGATTTTGACAGAATAAAAACTAAATTTAGTGTAATTTGAGCAAAAGTATTGCTCGCTACCATCATTAGTAATAATTATATAGTTCTAATACATTTACTGTTTCTATATTATGAATTTAGGTAAAACATGTTATTTAAAATTTAAACACGAAGTATTTCCAGACTTCGTGCTTGTAGTGAGTTTCTGTGACTTTCATGTGTTGACTTATTAAAATTCAAAAGTTGCAGCCCTGTTACAGATAGGTGGAGGAACAAACAGGGAAGTCATATTAATAAGGTTGTTAACGGTTCTTGCCTTATTAATTTTGAAGGTTTTAGAAAACAAAATAATTAAGTAATTTTTATCATAAATATTGAATAATGTAGATATCATACGCAAGTTAAAAAGAGAGAGATTCAAGTTACTCATCAAAGTCTCTTTGATGGTGTTCAGTGGTGACCGTAACATCAAAGCAACACATATTTTATCTTTAATAGAATTCGTTCAAAAGGCAACGTCAGAGCTTTAGCCCAGATAACAGTAATAACATCGATGAAGATTCACAAGTCACTCGTGAATTAATGACCCAATTTTTATTCCTCCATAAATATTATATGTTTATTCATCATATCCCTTTATGATAGCATATACTGAGATGTGTAATCTATGCTATTTGTCTATGCACCGCTTTGTGCGGCAATCTAAGGTATAAAGTAGAAGAGACAGACCACAAGCTCTATCAAAATTCAGCACCCGGTCAATTTTATATAATTATTTAATATCGGTGTGATAACCCGCGTTGAGCATGTGTTTGAACACTAAGAAATAGTTTGAAAAATTATATTTTACAACTATCTTTTAAATTAAGAGATCTGAAGTTATAAGATCGATCTGTATTTAAAAGCCATTTCATCTTATATGTAATCGGGATGGAAGTCGAGATCGGAATTGGCTTAATAGTTAGTTAATGTCGGCATCATTTTCTTTCGGCATTTTTGAAGTTTTTCAGGACAAGTTCTGGCTTTACTTTCGGTCGTCTTAAAAAAGAATACTGAATATCATTGACCTATCGACTTCTTGATAATTGAATTTGTAAGATTGTATCAAATTATTACGGAGATGTTCAGACATAGACCGATGTAACTTTTGATTATCCTGTGACTGTTTGGGAATGTAAAAGTTAATATGTATATTTGTTATCATTTTTGGAAACAAAAAGCAATTTTTACATTATAAGTATATTTAAATTCATTATACATGTATTCGTGTCGGCAACAAGTTCTCATTGACAGATTAGATAGTTCAGGAAATGATGAGTTATCTTCAGTCACGTGTATTTCCAAATATCAATGATTATATTTATCTATATCCAACAGGAAGTACGTCAACTATACTTATTGTTTATTGTGATAATTTACTTTAACAAAGTATACTAGATGTACTTAGTAATTTAAATATGCATGTTATTCTTAATAAAAATGCTTAAAAAAACACTTGGTCCCTGGCACCTTGAGATGGGATTGCGAAAGGTCATGGGTTCATTAATTTATCATTAAAAATATCTTTCCGTATAACGTTGTGAATGCGAAATTGATCAAATATAATGTATGTAGTTATTAAAAACTACATTATGTTCATAGTAGCCTTGGAAAATAACGGCGTTTTACCTAGGAGTAAAAAAGTACTTATTAGGTCTCCTTAATTAGAGCCTTCTGTATAAGGAAATGCATTTCTGTTTATCATCCAAGTTCCATTTCAGTTATTCATACTACGTCACTTCCGTTTTTTTTGTATCGTCTACCGCAAAAGACGGAATTGAGGATCATTTTGTTTATTGTATACTACCTATGAGGACGAGAATAAATTCTTAAATACTGGAATAGTTTTAGTCCTAGTATCAGTCAAATTAAATTAATTTATTATGACTATTTTATTAAATAATCAGGCAGTAGCTAGTGTCTTCTTACAATGAAACAAGAAAGACAAAATGCCTTGTCATCAAATTTTCTTTGTAACTCGTTAATCATTGAAGCCTATCGTTTTAGAATCTCAATATTTTATCATTATCAAATAAATCTTCATTAATAATGATTCACTGCCACGGCTTATGAGTTATATCTTTCTGAAGTAAAGTGATAACATCACTGTAAAGTTCTGTTGTCCATTGTAAAAATGATTCTGATTTTATACAGCAAAATATATTAGGTTATCGGCGAATTAATATATAAATTAAAAGTTTTATTTATAGTCTCTGAGTTCGTAACAAAAATGACCAAGAGTTTTCTAAAGCTTGATATTTCATTCGTACTTAATTAAGTATAACACACATTAAATGTACTTTTTATTAGTTTAAAATTAGTGAACATTTTTATCTTAATATATAAAAGAAGTGATTGTAGAATTTTAGTACTGCAAAAATTCTACAATCATGAAATGCGACGACTTTTTCATATCAAGTTCTGAGATATGACATCTCAGAATTTGATGTGAAAATGACCCCCGGAAAAGATTTTCCAATCTTTTGACCATCGCACTAGGAACTAAATGATGTATATAATACCCTTAGCAGATCAAAATACTGAAATATCTAGCTTTAGAAATATCTTGCATGTTTTTGTCACGACCTTTACGTCTATTAGTTTAACTTTGGGTTTAATTAAATCTTGTAATTTTTTGATTTGCATCCCAGCTTTTGCTTAAACTGAAATTTTGCATGCACATATAACTTGAATGACAATGCAATATAAACGGAACGGAACTAACTGATCTGCCATTATGGCATGCCATGGGACCTCTGTAATTAAACGAATTAAATTAATCGATGAGATGAGAGTTTGGTTTCGTTTGCTTCAATTTGTGAAGGGCTGTGGTCCGAGGTCACACGATGGAAATGGAAGCCGAACGTGAGATTTTTTAAATACAACTGTTGCAGTTTATCATTAATTTTTCCAATTCTGTACATTCCTTACTTTTGATATTTTAAATTTATCCACAACCGTATATTTGGCGGGTAGCACCCTTGCGTGGTAGGTAGGCGTACCTACCCGCCCTACCTTACAACGAAGACTGTGTGTGAACCATTTATAATGTTTGATTTAAAAGATTATGAACATCTAAGTTCATAATCCATCTCTCTGACAATAGTTATGGCGGGCGCTATTACACGAGTGTGGCATTCTCTCCCGTTTCCTGAGGTTGTAGATACCTTGAACTAACTAACAGTAACCCTGTCGAGATCGGACTTTTTTGATTTGTAATGTCCAAGACTTGTATCTAGAGAGGCTCTTCGTAGGACTAGCTTTTTAGGACTAGGTCTTTGAGAGATAGGTCTTATAAATCAATAGGTAGACTTTTGACGCCTTAATTGAGAAATAAGCATTTCAAATCACGATTGGAAAGAAACATATGTAGTTAACATATGACATTATAAAATAGCAAACCAGAAGCGTTGAATGGTAGTGACGGGAACATAAATATTACATTAAATAAAAATACTTTACACTAATTTTAACTAAATTCCTGTAAGTTTTGTAAAAGTACTCCATAGCTACAAAGTTACGTACATATTTATTAATTGTTAATTTATATGTAGAAGGAGCATAACTACGATAAACAAATTGAGAATTTTACAGGTAACTTCTTAATTTGCCAACTGTTTTGTTTTTATATTTCGTTTGCAATTACAGCTTAGATATTTAAACGTTATTTCTTTGTACAAAATCTATTTCAAGTTACACTTTTACACACTTTTTTAGAAAAATACTTTAGTCAAAAGATGCATTAATAATATAATCCGAAACGATTGTCACTATGAATTGATTGTGATGTTTAGCTTTTATGGAAATATATATATATATCTGTCGGCAAAATGTGATTCATAGATTGCGAAATAATTTCATTTATCAGTGAATAATGTTTTTTATGATAGATAGTAATTTTCCGTAACGGGGCAATGAAGAAACAAATATGTGGAACTGATAAATGTTTTTACGTTAATCACCTCCTTTTTTAATTTTATCGTATACTAGCTTTTGCCCGCGACTTTGTCCGCGTAATGAAGTTACTTTGAGCAGCCTTTCTAACGAATATTTATTCATTATATCGTATAAAATACCTGAAATAAAGTTTTATCCTCTTATCTTATGCCCTTAGGGGTGGAATTTATTAAAATACTTTCTTAGGGGATGCCTACGTCATAGTAGCTTTATGCATTCAAAGTCTCAGCCATTAAAATTGACAAAGTTTCATGCGAACTTTCATCCCCTATTTTTTCCCCTTGGGGGTAGAATCACTCAAAATCCATTCTTAGAGAATGCCTACGTCATAGTAGCCTTATTTATGCAAAGTCTCAGCCCGATCGGTTTAAAATTGTCAAAGTTTCATACAAACTTTCATCCCCTATTTTATCCCCATTGGGGATAGAATTGATCAAAATCCTTTCTTAGCGGATGCCTATGTCATCCCATCTACCTGCATGCCAAATTTCAGCCCGATCCGTCCAGTAGTTTGGGCTGTGTGTTGATAGATCACTATGTCAGTCAGTTACCTTTGAGTTATATATATTTAGATTATAAAATATGTTGTAAATGATATCTTACATGAAACTATAACTGTGTAGTACTTTTTGTTTTAAAATAAATTGAAACTATATTTATTTTTGCAAAATCAATTGTGGTTTACAATCTGTGGCTCACGACAACCAAAACGCAGGCTGCCATGACTGGGCATCGTGTGATGTCACATTTCAATAAACCGAACGACGACGTCTTTGTCGCGAGTTGATGTGACGTCACGGCTCGAAATGTCACGTGACTGATCATTTCAGCAGCACAGTTTAAATAGATGATTAAAATTGTTTTTCTTTTATTTAATAAGACTTTTAGAGAAAAATTTAATCTGATATGTAGTGGTTTAATATATGAAAAAAAATAAAATACTTTTCCCAAAACAGTCAAAGAGCAGTAATAATAATAGTCAATATTTTAAGTACGATACGTACTTATTGAGTCTTGGAGAGATGTCAAGCTTTTAAAGCACTATGGAGTATTTTTCAACAAATTTAAACGCAAACTGATTTCATTACATAAAATTACATCTACCTAAGTTTGGCATCTTATATTAATTATTCTTAGATGTTCTACTTCTATTTTTTTAATTAAAATTTCATCAAATGTAGTGTTCAATTTATTAATAGTTACTGGTTTATCGTTTCAAAACAATATTGACTTTCCCTCCAGTGAATTATTGGATTTCTTGAGATTAAGCTTATAAAGTAATGAATTCTTAAAAACAATCAGTGACTATGAACAAAAGTTTTTTAATAAAGTAATTCATTTTCCTTTTGTTCAATTAATATTCCGCTGTTCAATAAGAACCGTCATGACATATAATAGTAATACATAATTAAGTTACACAGGAGTACGGTTTAAAACAAGAGGTACTCACAGTCCACGAACCACCAATCGACAATGTTCGAGTATGCTTGAGATTCTTTGATCATGTTTTGTATGAGGGCGCGCATTTGCTCCAAGTCAGCTGCCGGGTTAACCTCTAAAGTGCCAACGCGTTCCGCTGAAATTGGAAAACTGTGTTATTGGAAGAAGTCGAGGGCGCTTTCAGTAAAATGGATTATTTAAATAGATTCAGATCGCGTCGTAGTGATAAGCATAGGATATGATGACACACATTTCACGGTTTACAACATGAAAACAAAGTTAGTAAGAAAAAGCAAACTTATTATTCCAATTAGTATTTAGCTTTGTTTCACAAATAGATGAGATATATCTCCTAGGTTGTTTCGAGTTTGCAGGACTGTAGTAAGAGCAAAGACAGTGAGTTTGACAACGAAATGATTTCCACGTTATTAATTCTTGTGAACTGGGCCTTGTTTTATTTTTTCTTTTGCTGATCAAAGCTTTATTGTACTTTTATTATTTTGCGCGCATGTAAAAAATGTAATGGATTTGCGGTAAATGAAGCAGCGGAAGACCAGTAGAAATTGGTTAAAGGCGTGTAGCCCGCGAGAAACGTGAATGGTCGTTATATGTGAATTTTAGGGATCGTTACCCTCGGGCTAAAGCATCCTATTGGAAAAATAAAATCTTCGAAATATAACACACGGAAAAACAATAAACCTGCAAACATGGAGTATCTTTGAAAATGTTGGCTTTGTTACGTTGAAAACGTGCTTTAATAATATTGATTTAGTTTATTAAGTGAGGAATAAGGCGTTTACTGTAAGCGTTTTCAATTTAAATTGTTTTTAACCTAAAAATTTGGGCAGAGTTGTCGGTATTTCCGTTGGACAGCTTTGGAAGCTCTTAGTCGTCGTAGGAATTAGCAATTTGAATCGTTTTGCGATAAATTTAATATTTATGGTAAGATGTATGAGAAATGTGTAATCAAAAGACAGAAATTTATAGATTAATTAGTTTATTTATTAAGCTAATTTGCTGACGATTCTCAGATGTCTAATGTTTATATTGCCGCTAAACAATAAATCAAAATTACGTAAATACGTAGATATTATTTGATAAAAACTGATAATTAATTAATTAATATTTTGGAAATATGTACCTGTTTTCGCTAACAGTTCCTTATCGTAATGATGTCTTTCGTAATCAGCCATAGTGATGAGATTCACTGTAAGAGATAATTTGTCCACCGTCGTTTGTCTGTAAAAAATATAAGTAATTTATTTTTCATAGAAACATTACAAAAAAATATATAATAATATATAAATGGAGTATAATTATTATGCAACAGCAGCTTATATTCGCTTAACACTTAGTTGTATAGCTTTATTAATTTGTTACTAACAAAAACTATTTTATTCGTCACTGTAGTGTTAATTTACCTACGTCTAACTTGTCTTTATTTCATTTTGCTTCTATTATAAAATACTTAACAACTTATGAATGCACGCACAGTCAATTGTCGTAGCTTGTAAATATTCAGCTATTTCAGTGGAAGACAAATTCAATAACTAATAAAAATCAATTCTTAACTTAAATGTGTAAAGTATCTGCAACAATTAAGGCACGTGTTGTAATAAGCACATATCCATAACACCGATCGATACATTGTGTTATGAATGGGCCTTAATTACTGCAGGTATCTTAAGTGATTTTGTTACTTTATTTTATTTTCATGCGGTATAAAAAGAGGAGCTCGATAGCGCAGTGGTAAACGCGTTCGGCCTGCGATGCGGTCGTTGAGTAACTTTCGCAAGGGTCGGTTATAGGATGGAAGACAAAAATGTATTATCTCTAGCTCCTCCGTGCTTTGAAAGGCACATTAAGCCGTTGTTATTGGCTGTATCTGTAGCCGTCAATTCACACTGAGCCCGTGTGGTAGTTCATATGGCCCTATTCTATTTGATTCGATTTGACCCTAAGGGAAGGCCTGAGCCCTAGTAGTGGTGACATTAATAGGCTAAAGACGATGAGGTTTAAAAATACTTACGGCGCAATCACCCTGCCGGGTTTCTTTTTAGCGAGCATAGTCGCCTGGTTGAGCCTAGACAGAGTGATGATGGACGGCGCGAGTCTGCAGGCCTCGCCGTCCACCTGCATCGGGATCACTTTAGTGGTCACGATCTTCGCTGTTTTGCATTGAGTGATGCAAGTGCCGTGGCCCCCAGCTTGCAGTAAAGGCTGATTGCAATATATGAATTAAATTAGACACGAATCCGACTGATTTTTCATTTAAGGGAATGTTCTATTTCTTTATAATGGGCTCACTCTTAACCTCAATCCAGCTTAAGGGCATTAATGAGATCTACGGTTGGATGAGCTTGCCTAGAAGGAAACCTATTTACATTTGCCTATTAAATAGGTTTTAAGGTGTTATCTTCTCCGAGGTCCCAGGTTCGATTTCCGGTCGTGTCAATGTAGAAAATGAACTTTTCTAAGTATGTTTCAGGTTCGGGTGTTCCTGTATGATGTTTCAAGTTTTCAGAATCCAAGTTATTAAAGCTATTTAATTTGAGATTTGAACAATGTATCTGATGCTGTCTAATCTTTACATATATTATAAAGAGGAAATATTTGATTGTTTGTTTGTGTGTTTGTAACGAAAAGGCTCCGAAACTACTGGACCGATTTTCAAAAATTCTTTCACCTATGGAGATCTACATCATTTGCGGTGAACATAGCTATACTTTATCCCGAAAAACAGCAAATAAAGGGATGAAAATGGGAGTGAAAGTTTGTATAGGCAATTAAAACGTTACCACAGTAACCATTGTCTACGATTCAATTTATCATTGTAATTATATCTGTGTCATAATTGAAATCGAAATCCAAATAAACAGTTTCCTAGGAGCAACGCGGGCGAAGCCGCTGGCGAAAAGCTAGTGTGTTTATAAAATATTTTTCTAACTATTCTAAATTGTTATAACTCCCAGTAGAGATAGTTTCTACTTAACTAAAATACGAAGCTCGTAAACGTAATAAACAACGTTCGTAAACCGTAGGTTTCATGGTTTCCCGGGAAGACACTGTTTTCACTGGATACCTAATCTCCTACAATGTGTAAATCCACTTCCTGCTGTGAGATTTATAGATACCATTCTGTTACATACTATCCTGAAGCTTACTAATGTTTGACAACAACGTTTGTTAAATATTATCATTTCATAAAAACATTATAAAAGTAAATTCGCAAGTGTATTATTTTATAAGTAATAATTTGATACGATACAGATTCGCAAATGTTTGAATTTGCAAATATTTTTAAGGATATCATTCCAAAAATATTAATTTGACCAAGTAAGTTTCTCTGTGATTCTATTTATGTCGGTACATATTTTGTTACCTAATTACATATACCCTCAGACCAAATAAAAAGTAAAGACGGAGTTTAGCCTAACAGAAAAGTGAAGCCGACAAAACTACGCCTTGGCGTATTCGTACACAGCTTCACACACACATACATACATAACGAAACTATGTCTTCCTTATCAGTCTAACAATAGACAGTGTGCGGAACGTTTCATTATAAAAAAAAAACAAAAATTTCGTACTAACTGCCGAATTGTGTAGTAAAAGGTAATAAAAACCAATCCTCAAAAATAAAAAGCAGGATGGAATTACATTTCACACATAAGTATTGGAGAAAACTTACATTTTCAGTAATTTAAAAATAAAATTTAAGCAATTGCTCGGAACACAAAACCTCAGCCAAATATTACCATCGTTAAACGTTATTATTTACCCCGAAATTAAGTAACATTAATTTTATAACGCGTTATTTCTGACAAAACACAAATTACGTTATGTATTTGTTTCTTGTTGTATGGAAATGATATTTAATAAATTTTGCATTGAAAATACTACCTAGCGATCCAGATCATAGATATTGAAGTGTTAGAATAAGGAAGTAAAAAATAAAAACGGGTTTTATTTTTTACTTCTTTATTTTTACTAAACGGGTTTGCATTAATTTTTGGATTTCCAAACCGACATCAAAAAGTGAAAGAGAAGTGGATTTCAGTCATTCGTAATAGTCGAAATGAAACTTCATGGAATCCAACTTCGCGCAGCGTAGTTTGTTCGACTCATTTTAAGAGTGATGATATGTATTTTACTATAAAAGGGTTACGTCGAATAAAGCAAAACTCATATCCAAACTTTTCAAACTTTGTATATATTAAAATTTTAGTTAACATAGTGGAAGTTTTCAAACTTAACTTAAAAATTAATTAAATAGTCTCTCCAATGTATGGCCTCCAATAATACCTACTCTTAAAGATTTTAGAATATCTATGCTGATATTGACAAACGAATTTACATTATATTATTAAATAGCATAGCGTTAACGTTAACTCTATAACGTCGTAACGTTAAGTTATTGGGGTGTTTTAAATGACTATGGTCACACTGGCACGCACACTACAATTGCTAAAAATCGGCTTCAGTTTGTTATTCAGCGAACTCCGTCTTTACTTTTTATTTGGTCTGAGCATATACCATTCGATTTACGTAATGCGGTTTGCCCTAACCATGCTCAAAGTAATGAAGATTACTTCATTACCTTTGGAGTAAGTTTTATTGATCTAATCTCTAATGCGCCAAGTTTTTATTAACTGTTAAAGTATGTTTTACCGATTTAACCACTAAAGTTACACAACGCTATATTTTAATGCAATAGCATCGCCGTTCGAATATTAATTAACAATGCCATAAAAACTGCATTCTCGGTGCAAGTGTCGAAAATACTTTACGTAAAACAAATCTGTAAAACTTTTTTTAACACCTTTGCTCGTAAAGCTGATGTAATTCCACCGGTTTTAAATATGTAAAGCGGGTCATAATACCGCGTGTGTTACCAAAGCAAATAGTTAAGTTATAGTCCATACAAATTCCATAACAGTATTATTTGCCATTTCGCGCGCTGTTGCTATTCAAATTTCGAACTAGCGCGCGCGCTGTTAAAATAGCGGGAAAGTAACAGTGTACATTCACAGATTGATTTTATTTAAAAAAAAACAGTTTATTCGGTAATTTAAAAACTTGGCTGCATGCTCTAACGTCTTTGCCAACATTTTCACGCAGCTACGGCAGAAAATAATCCTCGCGCCATTTTTCTCAAATTTTCTTTCTTTGTACTTGTATTGTGCATATCTAAAAATGACAACTTTCAATAATGAAGAAGAGCAATATATTACTTCAACTCCACCGGATATACTAACAGAAGCGCGAACCGCATGCGATAGCTTGTTGCCGTCAATATTCAAAGACAGATACATAACCACGTATGAAAATTTCTTGAAGTGGAAAAACATGAAAAATGCCAAGTCATTTTCCGAAAATGTAGTTTTGGCGTATTTTAATGAATTAGCTAGTATATATAAGCCTAGCTCGTTGTGGACAACATATTCTATGCTGAAAAGTACCCTCAAGATGAAAAATGGTGTCGATATTAATTTATATTCAAATCTCATTGCATTTTTAAAGAGACGCTCTGATGGTTTTATAAAGAAAAAATCTAAGTACTGTCATCAAATGACGTCGAAAAGTTTCTCAGAGATGCTCCAGATAGCCAGTACCTGGCTACAAAGGTCAGTTTACCTCCTTATTTTAAGTATTGATCTACCTACTGTACATACTCTTTTATATATTTTTAACGACCGTCTGTAAGCTAAGTACCTATACCTTATCTAACAAATTTTTTTTCTTTTCAGGTTGCGTTAATATTTGGTATTAATGGTGCATGTAGACGGCAAGAGCTTCACAATATTACCACAAATGACATTGAAAATAAAGGCAAAATGCTTTTAGTTAAAATCCCAAACACCACAGAACACATAAGACGTTAGAAAGGCCTTGTGGGCGTGGCAGTGTAGCCACGATCCCGGACAAATGTGACTTCAGTTGAAGTCACAGGATCGTGACTTCAACACGCTATCGCAATGTTTAGTAATTCACGAACGCGCGCGCTGTAAGTACTGTGAAACACGCCACTAAAAGAGTTAAAAATGCCGACTTGCGCAGTTATTAATTGCAAAACAAGAAGCCCATCCTCAAGTAGGTCCAAAGGAAGGATTCTTTTCCATTAGTAAGTAGAACACTTCTCAAATTTAATATTTTTAGTCGAAATTCGTGAAATGTTATCAAAAGTGTGAATCATAAAAAATAAATCCAAGAAAATATATGTCGCATCATCATTACGAAGATCGTTTGATTTAGTTTCTTTTATTGTAATTGCTAGTTACTCGATTACTTAATTACTCGATTGTAAAGAGAGCGTGATCATCGATACCCTTAATTTTATTAGAATGGTGACACTGACTTTGACAGTTCGTTAATAAAAAGCAAGTTGCCGCCATTTTGGCACACATTCTGTTTCCGATCGCCGAGGAGTAAAGACATCTGACGACATCACGCTCATCTCGTTATATTTTCGTGTGAAAAGTGATAAAATGGAACAAATCCACGTTGGTATACACGCCTGCAGTGTTATTTTAAAGATAGTCCCCGATATGGACGATCTATTTGGGCTTCGTAATAGCCCCTTCGGACTACCCGCCGTTATCAGAAGTTGGGATGTAACCGACCAAGTGGATACACAGATGGATATGGAGAATCTGGTTGCGGAAACAAAATCAAAACTTAGTCACATGTGCCGTCGTCGAATCACATGTGCATCTGCCTGAACTCGATCCTGGCAAAGTGAGTGTGGACGTAATATTTCTGCCTGTCGATACAAGAAGAAACACTTGAAGCCTTCGTGGGAAGAACCAAACGTTCCTGATATGACGAACAGTTGCGGAACAGATGGTCACTACTCTCAAGATACCTGTAGCCGAAGAAGATGCAACGGTGGCCAAACTGATGGCTCGTCTGCTGGCATTGTTAGTGAGCGACGTGTAGAAGTCTGCATCATTGCTACCCTTGCTAGTATTTTGCAGTATTTTGGTGAGTCGTTTTCATTTTGTTATGATACTAGAGTCGAGTGCTCCCTTATAAAGTAATTAATATCGTGAAGAATTCATAGCAATCGAATTAGTATCACTCTTAAAGTTACTGGTTAAGTGAAAATAAAATAAAAAAAAGTGTGATTGCATTGCTGGTTAAGTGGTGCAATCGAGGTTCTCAAACCAGATTGTTGTTTATGCATACTTTCATTGTAAATAAGATTTGATGATAGGATTTATCAACTCTTAAATTCTTATAACTAAAGAAACTTAAAGTAAAAACGGTCTCTAATTATTAAAGATTCGATTGGTTTCAAAATCTTGCTTTTGTTGAAGTCAGGACTGACCGAGAAAAGAATCTACCGCGCTGCACATCAATTAGATGTCTAGTTAAAACATTTTCATGAAAGTTCAATTCAATAATTAATAATTTCTTATGAAAAGACTGTATAAATCCCATCCAATGAACTTCCCAATTTTTAAGTCGTTTCACAGAGCCTCTGGGGACCACGGTCATAAATAAGGCCCAGACCCCAGCTTCGTCCTGCCTGTTTCCTTTAGAGCCTCTGGGGACCACGGTCTCATGTAAGACCCAGACCCCAGCATCGACCTTTCCCCATCTCCTTTTGAGCTACTGTGGATCATGGCGTACAGGACCGCTCATGACCACAGCATCACACTTGCTACGAGTATAATAATCAATGCAAGTATGCGTGGAGCATTTGCATTACCAAATATACTTGATAAAACAGCTTATTTTCCTAAACAATTTCCTAAATTTTCCTAAACCTTTCCTAAACAACTTAACTACCGTTTTTTATAACAATTGTGATAAAATACCCGTTGGTAATAAATTTGATGTTTAAGAAATGATGGTCGAAATCTAGTTCAAATCAAAATTCCCAAATGACTAGGTTTACAGATACCTAGCTCAGAAAAGACTTGTTGTTTTTCAATATCGATAGCAAATAACTTTATGTCAGTCACTAGTGTGATATGTCAAATTAAAATGGGTTTTACAAGTTTATTGCACACTATAGATGTCTGTTATGGTTGAGCGTGATTGGTTAGTTATTTTGGAGCGTTCTGATTGGCATGTTTAAAATGCAAGGGTGTGCATATCTTTTGTATAATTGGTGTGATATTTCTTCAGATGTACGGCGGACTAAAAGTGGAGCAAGACTGTCGATATCGGTTTTCGTACAAAGGATGCATGATCGCCTTTTTTCTTTTCCGTGTTTTGTGCCAAACACTAAAAACAAAATACCCCGATCTTTTATTATCGACGGCCCATTTTATGTCGTGGTCAAAAAATATGAAGCTCTGCGTACGACTAAGGCAAAAAATAATAATTTCTTTCAGAATTACCAAAAAAATAAATGAACTGCGCAACCTATTGGCATAAATAAATTCGGTACCATGCCAAAGGAAGTCGCCAAGTTTTTAGGATTGCCGGATGCTGATTGTTATACAGGGCACAGTTTCAGAAGAACGTCAGCTACATTACTTGCTGATTCAGGAGCTGATATATTGACTTTAAAGCGGCATGGCGGGTGGCGTTCTAACGCAGTAGCAGAATTTTATGTAGAAGATTCCATCCAAAACAAAGCAAATATAAGTGCCGAAATAACTCGGCAATAAATTTGGAGCCACAAACGAAGAAGTTTTGCCCTGAGCCGCGCCCCTCTACTTCTACTGATAATATTTTTTTATTTACAACTAATGACGAATTACAATGCTCTTCTGCCGCCTTTCAAGAAGTTTCGTCATCTCCAACATTTACCCTAACACAAAACAATGACATTATGCATAGTAATAATAATAATAATAACACAATTAAAAAACCAACTACAACTATGTATCATTTTAATAATTGTAATTTCACTGTTTTAATAATTAAATATGAACAAAATATAAAATGTTTTTTTTTCTGTTTCCTCGCAAATGTGTTAAAAAACGTCGTACGATATACGTGCGTATTGGTTATAACATGCTCGGCTCAATTACGCCCTCGCCTTCGGCTTGTGCTGAAATTCCGAAAATTTGGTGCGTATACTACGCTGCCATCTTTACAATAACTGGAAATTTTAGGCAAACTGAGTTCAGTACATATATGAGGTCAGAAAAATGAGTATAACTTCTTATAAGATATTTTTTTATCGATAAAGAACCAAAATTGTTTTTTTTTTATATGATTGGTATATTTTTGATTGTCAAAGATACACACAAAATAAAATAAAATCTTTAATTGCGATTAGCTCAAAAATAGTTTTAGCCAAGTTTTTGCACTCTTAATAAGCAGTGCTAATATAAAAAAAAGAGCGATCCAGTCGTTGTCACGTAATACGGTTACCAATGAATCCATTTATTTATTTAATTTATGTAGGTCCGAACACCTGGGTGCAAAAGCGTATATTCCTTTTTTAGTTAATACTCAACGGCGCTTAATTTTACGGTTTATTTGAATTGTAAATATTGAAGTTGAAAGTATTGTAGGGATAACGACGTCACGAACGATTCCACGCAGATTAATAAGTTATTATGATTAATCTGAATAACGATACTCACCAATTGATATGTGGTTAATCCTACTACTTCTATAAGGCCATCTTCGGTGGAGGGTTCTACAGCCCCTCCTGATTTGTTCCACGGGTGGGTGCCACCCCCGTAGCTGTAAACAAGATACATCTGAACATTTTACGTCAACTCTCCTTATTGGATTTGGGACATAGTACTGCGGTACACCTGACGCTTCACTTAATGAAGCCTAGTTTTAGGAACGTCTTAGTCATCAACAGTGTCCGGGTAGTTTGTTATTAGAAGAAGGATTATAGTTGGATTCTATCGAACAGGTTAAGAGTTCAATAACCAACCAGAAGGCTAGGATTCAATAATGAAGTAGGTAATACAAACATTCGTTATACAAGTATTTAGTTTATCATAAGGAGTTAACGGGAGTATTAATAATATATTTCAAATATTGTATAATAATCCTTTTCCATACATATATTCTACTGAATTGGGAGCATATGATCGACAGAATATTTCAGTCTTTGCAAAGATCAAGTGCAAATGATATTAAAGAAACCTGATTTGAAAAAAGTTTTGCCTTGTGACCTATTAAACCTGTTCAATACTCAATCCATAAATATGTATGTGATCTTCTTAAAAAAATTTACAAATATTTAAATATTAAAATAGTATGACGTGTTTTAGTTTAAGTAAAAACATGATGACATTTTAGGTTACTTAAATTATTGTAATTACAATGGCTTCAATGTTATTTTTCATACATTAATAGAGGTATCTACTTTTAGAATACTTTTTGTTATAGAATCACTTGGGTTATTGATATGTAAAGGTATGTTCACACATGTGAGATTTCATCGCAGCACATAACAAAATATTTATATCTAACTAAACCTACTTATAACAAAAGCATAACGGAATAACTTCTCTACATTGAATATATTAAGGAAAAGCGACGACGGCTAATAATATTGTGGTTTACAACAAAAATTATGCATGAGAGAATATCTTTGCATATTTTTTATTAAAGTTTGTACTTTTAATAACATTATTTTCTTATTTTGAATATTTGTACTTTTACGTGCTTATGCGTAGAAATAAGAACCACCAGTAAGAATTCAAAAATATACCTACTTGATTTGTAATGAATATTAATACATATACACATTCAAATATGGGCAGTGGGCATAACTATACAGCACCTTCCTAAATAACTGTCGCCATCTAGTGTAGAAACATGATAATAAAAATAGTTCGACAAATTGCTACTGTAGGGAAAACTGAAATGTTTTCTTATTTCATTTATCTGTACAACACCTATAGTAATATAATATATAATAATATTATTGTCAAACTAATATTTACTTCCTTAAATGTCCCTAATCGCTGTAATCCTAACTCGGATTAATAAACTTATATTAATTTGAATAAACACAGGCTCACTATTACGTATCTATTTGTTTAACACTAACAGTTAATAAATCAAACTTCAGGGACGCAGGCTTAGAACATAGAGTTATTAGACTGAAGCATATGAGTCATGCCTCGAAACGTTACTCGAATAGTAAGAGAGGACACCTGAGAGAATTCGAATTCGGGTCTGGATTTTTACAGAATCGCAGGGCAGGTCACAGTAGTCGTTGGTCTTGCTCTACTCCAGCATGCGGAAAGAGAACATAGTGGAGTAAATCCTTGTCCTTCACTGTGCATCCGGCCATAGAAAGAAACAGAAACAGATAGTTTATCTCGATCATCCTTCTATTATAGAGGCATATTTTAACTTACGTACATATGATCAACACGTAGTCATATGTCGTCCATATTCTAGTATAATCAACTTAGTGGATTGAAATATATTTAATTTTGGGTCGCTATGCAAAAAGGTTAAGAACCGTTGCTCTAGAATATCAATTTTACAAGCATGAACGCATCCTAAGGGTTCCAATATTAAATTAAGAGAATTTTCCTTACATCAATTTCAATTCACTATATTGAGTAACTTGTATCTTAAACTAAATTACAACTATTCTATAAATAACTATAGTGTACCATGGAAATCGAAGCAGTTTCCAATATTGTAGAAGATAATTTTTCAAAACTATTTTGAAAAATAACTAACCTTGGAATGTTTAAAAAAACTATAGCATGAACTTTATGCTCGCGAAGCACCGGCGTAAGGTCCTTGCCATCGCACTCCATGGTGACAAAGTCAGCCAAACCTTTCCACTTGCGCTGCATCAAGTCTTTTCCGCCAGCGGTGCCGTAGAACAACTTGTTTCTAATACGAGAGTTAAATTTCTCTGGATGTGCCTCTGGTGAAACAAAAAGACGTTTCTAAGATAAATTACACTGAGGAATATAATTACTAATAACTGAATATGGAGTTTTGTAATTCTTTCTTAAATTGTCCCTAATAGCGATTCTTAATAGCATGAATCTTAACTAATGTTTTCCATAACAAGACCGAATAATGTAAATAATGTAATATAGTATTTATTAGTGGTATTATAAAACGATTGTTACTCAAGGACAAATGTAAAAGGTAGGCATAGAAACATCTTTGACAAATATTAATGTTTATCACACATTTCCTTTTGTTGACTTCCAGGTTTGGCTTCCACTTCGTTATAAGGACAAAATTACAACTGAATACATTTGAATAATAAAGCGATTCTATATAGGGTAAAAGCCGGATAGTTGCCACACTTTTTAAAAAAGCTCTTTTGTATCTTGAACATCGTTTATAAATCTATTATCGTAGCCATTTTTTAAAATACAAATATTATTAGTTTTCAGTAAATCTTGTTTTATTTTACCTCTTAAAAAGGGGATAGTTGCCTGCTATGGCGGATAGCCTAGCGTTAAAAATGTTTCGGGGAATACTTGCTTTATGTGAAGATAGATGCCTGTCTATGCATTTTTCAAATAAAAATTAACTTATATTAATTAAAGTAATCAGCTTTTATTATTTACTACAATCTTTTATTAATTAATAATGAAAGTTAAACTGTAATTATAAAATTACAACAAAAATAGACTCCAAAATGATCTCCAAATAATCCAAAATATTAATGAAATTTAATAACTTATTTTAAACATAGAACAATAAGACAATTAACTATGACATTATCGTCGATTAAGTTAAGTATTCAGTCTATATAATTAGCTGAAATCTTTTATTCGGTACTAATTAAATTATTAAAGTATTAATTAGTAAGTATTAATCTTAAAGATAAAGAAATATAATGATCTATTTTGACATTAGCATTTATTATCATCAGAGGTCAGGGATTTTTATCCAGTTCTTCGAACGCAAGTTCTAAACTGTGTGTGTTCTGTCACCACGCCCGGCTTTCGTTTATACTAACGAGGCATTTTGCTGTTGAGTAGGTATTTCTTTTATAAGTAAAACTAAATGCAAAAACCCCATGAAAAATTGTTCGTTTAAAAATTTATAGTTACAGATTTTTGCCCTAAGGCAACTATCCGCAAAAGTCAATAGGGCTACTATCCTTTTTGATACGGGTAATTGCCCTATTTACTTAAGATATAAATAAAAGATATTTATTAATAAAAAGTAATAAATAGTGTAATTTAAACCCAAATGTATGCAAAAAAACGTAAATAAAAATATTTAACAGAGATTTTCTTACTAATATAATTCTGACGCTCGTCAAAGCTTCGCCGCCGAAGTTTTTTGTTCACACAGACAAACCACGCGCGTCTATTTTAACGACTTATGCGACACCGAGACCAACGTGGGGGGCACTTCCGTTTATAATCAAGTCCAAACACGATCAACAAGCCTTACGTAGTGTATTCGAAACTGAGGCAAATATCCTTCCGAACTATCCGGCTTTCACCGTAAATAAATGTCCGCCATTAAAAAAATTCACAAAACCAATAGAGCATAATAACAAAAACAAATACACTATCTAAACATAATTATGAATTTAAGACTGCAGAATATTCATATGAATTGTTTTGATTTTAAATCACATGATTTAATAACAGTACGTCTAGATTTTATAAATATTTATTTAAGATACCCACTTACAACATTAAATTGAAATGATCTGTGCCAGTAAGTATCATGCCATTAAATATTTATAATATTAAGAGGAGGGATATCATTTTTATATCTATCTGAATATTGAGATCTTTTCAAAATTAAAGTAATGAATATTGGACGTCTAATTATTTGTTTTTCGAATTATAATTACTAAGTTGAATATAACTACTATCTACTCGTTAATTGAAATTTAGAATCGCAAATATATAGGTAACCGCAGATAATTTGGTTTCCAAAATAATATTAACTGCTCTACTGTTGTTTGAACAACCAAGCATTAGATGATAAGGCAAACAATGTTATAAATATGTAAATATTACATCTATTGATAGATAGTTGAATTGGAATTGAAATTAATCAAAAAATATACCTTAATTTACATATTTGAAGAAATAAAGTTATTATTATAAAATATAAGACATTATAAAGTACTATTAATCGTTGTTTATAAATTATAGTAGTTACCTAAATATTTAAAAAAAGCGTAATGCTATAAAAAACATTATAACGGTTGCCAGATAAGTGATATAATACAGGTTTATAATTAATCATCATCAGACTATATTGTCCTCTCTGTGGATGCAAGTCATCCTTTAGAAACGACTTAGGGAGGACACATAACGCCCTGTGGGCGCATAGCGGATCGGGGGTGTTGACGACTACTAAAGATGTGATGGCACGAATGGTTTTATGTGTATTTTGCGAAATAACTGCAACGGCTTTACAAAACTGTTATGATTCATGTTATCGACAGTGGAGAGCAGAAATAAATAAATTAAAAGAAAAAGATAAATTAAGCAAAAACGATTATATTTTTAAAACCACTTCGATGTACTTACAAACTCATCAGCTTTGATGTACGTACAAAACAAAGAAGCTGGCAAAGCTCCCGTTTATAATTTTCTCATTATCCACCATTCTAACGTGTTTTTTTTTTATATTGATTTAACGTTTGGATGACGTAATTACAATTATTCTTTGTTATACGAGTATTTTTGTTAATTATAGTTACTTCCTACCTAGGACTAGATAACTAGCATTAAGGACCGACGTAAAATACTATTTGAAAGAAATTTGCATATACAGATATTTTTCTTATTTAGCAGCCAAAAGAAAGTTTAAAAATACATTCTAAATAAGGTTGCTTGGTCGCCAACAACTAGCATCACAAACGATAACATTATGTTTGACCATATTTCTAAACTTCACAAATTATTTTTCAAGTTTTACTGTAGTTACTGCCGTGACACTTATTCTTATTTATTAGGTCTATGTTTTATTCATAGACGAAAAATTACGTAGAGGCCACACCAAGATTATGTCATCTTGGTGATTGACGTAGAGTTATTAACACAATAAATTAAAATAAATTGCATTTTTGTGTATAACGCAAAATACTTATAACGAATTAGCAAAAGTCATCAAACGAGTGTTGTTATATAATGATGTTCACTATATAGACCTAAGTTGGTGGTGTTTTAGAACTAATTCTGTATTTAATTATTTTAATAATTATTGATGTTTGTATTTTGGTAGCTAGTTTAGATCTGGGTTTTGTAAGGAAAGTTATAATTAAGTAGAAAAAATATTTAAGTGAGTAATAAATATTAAAGAGCATTCATCCGATAAGCAATTAGCTGTTATAAGATATTTTTTTTCATAATATGTTTGAAATTAAACAGACTTTTATTTTTTACCTCGCGCCTCATGGAATTCCAGTGCTATATGAGCATCCACTCCGAAGGAAAAGTAATTGTTCACAACGTTCAGCGGTAACTCAGGCTTGGCGTTGCTGGTGTCCTCGCCAGCGGCTGCCGTGTTCGGCTCTACTGTCAACTGCCACCTGTCCAGCAGCACCGTGTCGCTTTCACCGATATTCGCCAAGATCTTCGAGATTGGCTCGTCTTCATAGCCCTGATCACGAGAAATTATGATTAGACTCTTTATACTACGCATTATTTTATTGCCTATTATTTGATTTGGTATTAAAATTTTTGCCTTCAGTTATTTTAATAATTATTTCCCTAGGCATAGACAACATCACATTCATTGCTAAACTCCCAAACTAAATAGGTCTAGGTTATAAAAATATGAAACAATGAAAGTACCGTAACTCCTAGACCCAAAATATGTTTTTTTTTCAATGAGTGGAAAAAAAAAATAGTCTCATTTTATTGATCATGTTTGTATTATTAGATTGTACATTAAACTGTTTAGATACTTAGCATAGGTATAAAATAAAACTAATTGATAGAAAACATTTTATTCTAAAAACATTTTTTGTATGGCTCTTTTAGTAAAACGAGAAATACTTGTTGCCAGTTAAAGCTCGTGTATAAATAAAAAACAAGTTATATTGGTTTTTTTTGCGCAATGATTACACTCAAACTTTTCACTTTTATTGCGAAAAAAAAAATATTGCTTTAAGATTTCCCATATTCAAATTTTTATGTAATAAATATAAGTATTGATGTAGTGTTGCCAATACCTACTTGTTCATAAATTGAATATGTGCTTTAAAGACTCTAAAGAATTGATCTTTGATATTCTTTAGAAAGTTCATCAATGTACGTTGGAAAAGCCTATGTATTTATATTTCAATAAATTATGATACTCGTATTTTCACTTTTGTAAAGATCTCAATAATAATCACTAATTCAACTTGTAAATATAAAAAAATTGTAAAGATTTGGCGCCATGCGCCATCGTTTTCTTCCTATAGTCTCAAGGTAAATGATGTCTCAATGTTTTCTGCCAGAACATAGCTATCGCAGCGTTTCGTTTTCAAAAACGAATCTTGATCATGAGTATTTTATAAATCTTTTAAATATGTGTGATTCCTCGTTTTCGATTTCAATAGCGCTACTAGATTTTCAAGTCAATTACTGTAAGAGAAAATTTTGATTATAAGTACTTTAACATTAACGTTATGAACTTGTCTTTCATAAAATTATTATTTACATTTTACTGTGCTCAAATAAAAGCTTGTTTCTAAAAATCTTTTTTTTTATTATATTTTACTTTTGTCTCATTCTATTCATTTCAAACATAGCATCTGTATTGCAAGGTGTTTTCCCTTTATTTTTGTAAATGTTGTTGTTCTAATAAAGACGAATCTAAAGAGCCCAAACACGATGCAGTTGCGTTATGTCATTGCTTAGTTCCTATGACCACTTTCCAGCTTTTTCATTTCCATAACTTGGTCGGGAAAGTATCCAGTACCAATGTTCTCATAAAGACGGAGCAAACAAAGAGAAAATTAAATTTCTGAACGCATCCTGTCTGACAAGTAGGAACAACAAGTAGAATCTAGTTACTTTGTTACTTTTCTTGTAATTTATTCATATTTTTTCACCTTCAAAGCCTTAGTTATACTTATTTGAATATTTCAAATTTAAAATTAGTTAAAATGGATCATGATTTTAGAGTTTTAGTGAGATTAACAAACGCCGTACTTACTACTAAAATTTTTATACCTTAATAATAATAACAGTAATGCGAAGAATTATTGAACGAATAATTTTTTTATATTATTATAAGAAACTACTTCCGTTAGATATTAGACGCTTTACCATCGAAGCTATATAGGAAACTTTTTCGCAAAGTACATAATAGGAAACGGACTCTACCCATATACCATTTCAAAGTGCGATATAAAAAAAATATATTAGAAAATCCTTTCAACCCGATACTACATTTTCCTCTATAATACAGCCCTACAACCATTCTCGATATTTATCGAACCGGAAATTGTAATCGGTAATATGCCTATCTTGGGATTTAAACCACGTTCTAATGATTTGATCGCAATACGCGATTAGATATTTGAAACTTATTTATTATATTATTTTATTCCGTTAGTAATGGAGTCAATGTAATTTTATAGATACGTACAGGTTTTATGCACCTCAAAGATTACATTTTATTTCGCTCAGTTAAATAGTTTATCCTATTAATTTCAACGCTAATGTTATGTAATTTTTATTAAATCAATGAGTACAATCTTTCAAAAGTTAAAATCAATCATAACAGTTTAATTATATAATAAAGATTGATGTATCGTATGAGATTGAGAAGTTTACGATAGTGGGCAGAAAGGGTTAATGCTTAGCCATAAGGAAGAGACAGAGTTAATTACCTACATAATTTTATTATACTAGAACAGCCCAATAAATCTCTTTGTTTTGTACGTTTAAGTTCATAATTATTTTATATTATTATTATGAATGTGATGTTGTTTAAACTTATTTATGTAGATATCTAAAACTGAATTTCATTATGTATTAGTAATATACACAGCTGATATTCATTGAATTTTTTAATTGATATTAGACTGGAAGCTATGCATATTATGAACTTCATAATTATGAAGTCAGTGTTCATTTCCATTATTGACTTACAAGGTAGTTGTAAGAAAGCTTATAGTAATTAATGGTTCATAGAGCTTTTGTGTAGTTTAGAACCTCAGTTTCATAGGAACGTCATTATTCATATTAATGACTCTATTCTTTACTTTATTAATGACGTTATTCGAATTTAGTGTTCTTATTAAACTTTTTATACTTGCCATATTAAATTGACTGTAGGTATACCATTAACATGTAGTTTAATAAGTGAAAGATTTGATTAAACTCATAAAGGTGAATAAGTACCTAAGAGCTTTATGGACGTATTCAGGTTTTGGAGAGAGAGAGAGAGAGAGAGAGAGAGAGAGAGAGAGAGAGAGAGAGAGAGAGAGAGAGAGAGAGAGAGAGAGAGAGAGAGAGAGAGAGAGAGAGAGAGAGAGAGAGAGAGAGAGAGGGAGGAGGGGGCAGTAAAAGTACTGGGGCAGGTCAATAGGTTGTAACATTGTATTAGGATGGAAAGTCTCAAACTGTCAGACAATTAATATATAAAAAGTAGAAATAATGTAACTTATTAACTTTCAAAACAAAATTATTATCTGGAACTCCACCATGTTTAGAAGTTGTTAACACTCATCAAACAATAAACGAGTCACAATAACCAGACCCTAGACAGTTAAGAAAAGTTTATTGACTAACATACGCAGAGTTGGAGACACCTTTAAACCAGTGAGCGAGCTACTCACCTATAGAGGTCGTCAACTTACAGGCCCCGAGATGTTATTCAACAAATCCTTATATATGCCTCATATGTAGTCAATATCAGATATGTCGAAATAATGTATTTTTAGTTTATCAATTTGCAAAGGATCAAGAGTAACAAAACTGAAAATTAATGTCCTCAGCCGCCTTCGCTTATTAGTCGAGGGGGAACGAGATCTCTCTGAAGAGACATTTCTGTATTCAATTCAATATAAAGTGTTATTTTTGCCGTTTCAATGAAACGAAATGTAATATATTTTTTTTTATCTTTCCATTTCGATTGGATTTTGATAGGTACCGGATGAAGATTTATAAAAGGCGACGACTACTCAATTTCTTTTGGTCGATGATTCTATGTCGGTCGATGTAATATGCTTATTCCATGCATGAATCTTTGTTTATTTATGGTGCTCTAGAGATTAATTATGTAGTTCGATTCTGATAAGGGATTTTTTCGATGGAGCTACACTAATTAATTCAAAAATAAATATCAAAGGAGACAGTCAATTTCTTAACCAGATGGGAGGAATTTTTAAAATCCGTTCTTAGTATACTCCTTTTAATTATACTCAGGGAAGACTTATAACACACTGAACTTGGGTTCAATGTAATAAGAAAAAGGTACCCTCTAAATTTTAAGTCTCTATGATCAGTGGTTAAGTTTTGCGTTGTCTCTAACTCAGTTAGCTCTGAGGACAAACACTTTTTATATTTGTATAAGTATATTGCTCTACTAAACTAAATACATGATGTTCTTGAGCTATAGGTAATTAAAGTTCATGAAGCAAAAAGGCTCATTTACAATTATCCTTCTTATAGTGGTGGATTATCTTTCAAGCAAACTAGGCACGTACTTAAGGCGCAGCATTATAAAGGTGAGCAAAAATTGACGAAAAAGTATAAGATACGCGATCTGTGCCATTCCATTAATGAACTAAATACCCTTAGTATATCATTTCATCAAATAATTGTACATAAAAGGACACTTAGTGATGAAACATATTAAAAATCGTCCAAGAGGGACTCAGACTCGCTTTGTCTTATGTAATTTTGCAAAGTGTCTGCAATTTTTTTAGAATCTTGTTTTATGTCATTTTGCAAAGTGTCTTACACTATTTATTAATGAAAACAAGAATGGATTTAAAAAATAATAACCATTATCCTTTGTAGGTAGCCACAATTCCTTTGGGCTTTGAAAAGGTAGGCGAGACTTCCGGATCATTAGCGACTCGTTACAATGATGTAAATTACACCCTTCAGAGGTTATTTGCAGTCTTGGTGAAAAATAAAAATTTTGATGCGGGAAAACACAATAAACAATGTTATACAGGGTCGTTAAAGTACATTGAAGAAGAGCGACAGGTAATCTCAATATGCATATTCATTGAGCGCCTCGCCGCATCTTATTCTGCAGCAGGCATTCCCGATATGAATATTTAATGAAGGTCACGAAATTACGCAGGAGATTTCAGAGATGGAAATATATGACGAATAAATGAAAGGAACGTCTTAATTTTTACCTAAATTAATTAAGTAGAGATTATCAACTGCGAATATACTCGTAATTTTATGGAACTTCAATACTTGCCTGTCATTTGATTCTATAAAATGTTATATGGTATTTAATATCCTATACATTACTTTTTGTAAAAATACGTTCGTTTGTCTTTCAAAATATTACGTCTAAGTCATAAACACTTTTTTGAAAAGTTATTTAGCGTAAGCCCTATATAGGCCCTATACATAAATCCTATACATACTTTAGATGCCTATCAATTTTTTAAGCTATTATACTATATGTAATAAATATTACATGATTGTTTGATGTCAAAATCAATAGAAAAATAAATATTGTTAGACTTTTATCCAAAGTAGAGTATAGAACTTAATCCAATTGGCATCATTTAGTCAGAACGCACGAAAGCATTGTGTTCCCGATAGTTCTGCCGTAATAGGAGCTTTTGTTTGGCAGCTGAACGACAGCCGAGAGCGTGATTTCAATTACGGCTTAAATTGAAAGCTTCGTTTTGACACTCGTCATAGGAATATACAAAAATATTGGTGTATAAAAAACTCCTTTGTTTGTAAACGTATGGTGACTTCATTCAATTCTACCGGCACGTAACGTTTTCAGAACGTAAACATGGTAGACACGTTACGGAATTCATAGTCGTCATTTATCGACAACATCGCATTCAGCATAAACAAACGCTTTCAAGCAACTAAGAGACTCCCACAGAGAGATATCAGTATCTACGTTATTCTGTGTAGGTATTTACATTGTAAGATTTTTTTGTCTTCGATGTATTCATCTGTCGTTTCCTAGAAATAATCCCAGGAATACTTTTTCAGGTTACGTGAGAAATATGAAAATTGAATTCCTGTTATAAGGAAAAGGGGAAGGACTATTATAATAACCTAATTAGTTTTAGAAAACTTGTATTTGGATATAAGAAAATAACTATATGGTGAATGATTATGAGGGATTGCTACCATGTACTTTTGGACTTGGATTGGGATTGGTACATGGTAGCAATCCCGTTTTTAGCAATAACTCTGATATTAATGAACATGAAAATTTAAAAAAAAACATATTATATGGATGAATATCGTCCACGGGCGCACAAACAACGTAAACAATGTTAAACCAAAATCATAAATGACATCACGCATATCTAGTATCTACATCAATAAAAAAAAAACTTTGTTACCTATTTAAATTAAATACAAAAGGTTCACCATCTCATATTTCTTAACTACTTCCAAAGATATTCCGATTCAAAGTTCTATTGATTTTTCGCAATTATTTTAGCTAATAACACTTTAATTACATTACCATCTATTATAAAATTTTATTTTAAAATCCATTTGCATAAATTTTTGACATTTATGTTCAACTTTGTTCGAAAGATCAGAGAGAGAAAAGACTGCAGTGTTCCGCATCCCAATACGACCAGACTATAATCTAGGTATTTTACTCACACCGCCCCATCCAAGCGCTCGGGCTAAATCGTTGCCGGTGCCGAGCGGTAGTACGCCGACCGCGGGCCGCGATCCGATGCGATCGAGCACGCTCAACACCCAGCCGACTGTACCGTCGCCGCCACACGCCAGTACGCGCAGATTAGGCACTTTACGGAATAACTCTAATCTGCAAAGTGTAAGTAATTTAAAATACAAAAAATGGCGTATAATAATGAGAATTTCAGTACCTATCTGATTTTTAGTGCTATTTTATTTTAATGTGTGACAATCTTGCTATTTAGTAGGTATAATAAATATTCTATTATCATATTTTACATAGCAGCACATCGGTTGACGAAGAGTTTTCGATTTCAGAACTCGATTTTTGACTCTTCATTCCAAACGTTAAGATTTTAAATTTCATAGAGAAATTAGTCTTTAAGTAAAAAATACATAATGAATAGGGATGATGACTAACTTTTATTTCTTTGTCCGTCAGGTAGATTATTGAAGAATATTATTTTTTATTTATTAAATACGTATTTTTTATTTCTTGCGTAGTAAAAAAATTACGGCAATACATTGAGTTGAAATATCGCACGACTTCACGCTTTTGTATAATTTCCACAAAACTTTTTTTTTACCCAGTCGTAATCCTTATTCTACTGGTGTCTGATCATAATGTGTCTGTGATGAACTTTCTTATTAAAGTACTATAAAATCTACAATGAATAGGTGATTTTCTATTTATATTTTTTAAATGAAGTCATCGTAGTAACATCTTTTAATTAATGTATCAATAGAAATTAAATGTTAGAAATAAAATTATTTAAATTCTCCGATACAAGCTCAATGGACATTGACCATTTTAGCTTATCGATAGTTTTGCCATTTAGTTTTTTAAACGTCGTCAAATAAAATAAATCTCTAGTCTGAACCAATAGCTGTAGGAATATAAAGAAATTACTAACACAAAATTTTATGAAATACCACTTTCCCGAGATATAACTCTACAAGGGATTGGTACCCCATATAATACTCGTGCAACTTTGATAGAATGGGCATATCTAGAATCTTTAGAGAAGTTTGTCTAATTATCCTTTATCACCTATTTGTCTAGATTCTAGATTATATTTTTTAACTGTTTGTTGAAAAAAAGAAGGAAATGACGGACCCGTAGACGATCCAGCTAGATATCTACTTAAATATTCTAAACCTGTATTTTATAAAACCATTAATGTAAATATCACTATCAAAGATTTAACGGGTGATATTTAAAACTGATAGATGTCAAGGAAAGAGAAGCGTGTTTGTAACACATAAAACCGGTTGACAAATGATGTCGGATACTGGAGTTGCGAGAACACTGTAAAGGCGTTAACTACTTTCTGTATTCCTTTTAGCTTTGAAGTCTTTCATAGTTCACTGAAAATACTACCACAAAGCGCATTAAACACATCGGAATAGTTAGAGACTTTAGAGCTTGTAATAGTTCGACTATGCCTTTTGCAAGCTCACAAATGGATTTAGATACCGGTGTTGATTTTTATTCGTAAATTTTCCTTTGAAGTTAAATCCGAGTAGAGGTACTCATTCGCATATTTCATTCCGTTAAAGTATTTTATTAAGAAATCTCCTCCTAAAATATAATAAATTGGTAAATTTTTCTTCTGAGAAAGTTTTTGAATTTTCCTGTCTGTTGTTGTTTACGCAGTTTTTTTGTTTGTTAATTCCCAATTGTTATTATGCACTTTTTGTATAAAACTGAATTTCTTATAATTTATATTTTGCGAATAAATAATACCTACAGTTTAAATATAAAATCAAATTCGAATGAAAATCGCATCAAACGTCTTATCTAAATAGTCGTTGAGAATATTAATTAAACAATACAACTACTTTCAAATTACTTTGTGTAATGAAAAGGGTGTTTACCCAGGACCAGGACCTCCTTGCGTGAGATCGAAGACCTGCCTCGGATTTAGAAGCCATTGAAATTTCTGCAGCAGTTTGGCCCCTTGATTGCCACCACTCTTCGGATTTATGAACACAAGCACTGGCTTTACACTAGACGTAGGAATAGGTTTTATCACAAAAGTCTTTTGTTCGTTCTTTGAATCTTTTCCTTTCTTTTTTGAAGCATTCTTCTTTTTAGGTGATTTTCTTAATGAAGATTTGAAACTACCTCTTCTCGGTAGTTTCACGATCCAGGACGGCGGTACTATTATATTTGATTGAGATCCTAGAACAAAAACTAAATCGTTTATCAAGTAATAACGAGAATTCTATATTTTTGATATTACTTGATTAAACAGAATAGGGGGAAAAGGCAGTCAGATGAGTTTTATGTAGGATATTCAATTTGTCGTAAAAAATAATAGCCGTTTCAATAATAAAATAACTTTTTTAATTCCTTATTTTATAAATTAACCGGTAAATGACATTGCGTACTTTAAATGGACTATATCTCGAGGATCTATGACTCAGTGATCGTATTTCAGCCAATTTTACCCAAGATATTACACTCATATAATTGTCCATCTTAACAAAAAATTGAATTTCAGGAAAAAGTATAATTAAATAAAACAAAGAAAATTTTCTTTAAGTAATGACAGTTCAATAGCTTATAGCATTTGCAAATCGTAATTTTCCTCATCAGTTCGTAAATTAAGGAAAACATTCATAAGCTTAGATAATTGTTTATTTTATTATTTCTTTCTGTTTTATATATATCTTGCGTTTATACAGATAGCTCATTATTACACGTAAAAAGTTGAAATGTCAATTTTTTTTGTTATGTAGCTACCTACAGGTAGCGATTGAAATGATCGAGAGTTTGTCGAGTGTGTAGAACACGCCGCCGTGTTTTCGAAATCTGCCAATGGCAAATGAGTACTTGATTAACTCGAGTCCACCCTCGAGTGTCGTCATCGATATTTATTACAATTCATTGAAATTAATCCACTATTAGTGAACTTCTGTTCACGTAAATTGTATAACTAAAAAGTTTTTCAAAATCATTTTGATTCGATTAATATAATCTGTAATATTGTTTTTCTCACATGATACTCTGAATATACTCAAAATATACTTTAATAAATTATAAGTTTCTCTATTCAGACTTTATCATTATTCTATATAATTCCATCGCTTAAATTACACTTATGTGACTGTGACATTATCTCACCGAGTGAACATTCCTCCCCTATTCGCTGCAAGTTGAAGCAACTATCTTTGTTGTGGTAAGCATCCTTACACCACGAGCAGCTCAGCGCTACGATTTCCTTCGAACTAAACGACAGCTTCGCTTGCAACGACTGTTGAAAAGAAAACGGAAAGTAATATTAAAACCTACAGTGTAACATAAAACTTTTGCCTTAGCGACAAGGAACTCCAGTTAGTTTCCAGTAAAAGTCGTGTTCTAGAAAATTCTCGTAAATGGACAGCTTTTGTTCAATAAACGGTACAAAAAGGTTTTAAACGATACTCATGTTACTGACTTCAGATTTTGAACCATCCATGTTTGGGAGTTAGTTCAGTTAATGGATATGTTGCCACTAGAAGATTCAAGACACAAGTATGTTTAAAATATTTTGTGTAAATAAATACATGCATGTTGATTACAAAGCAAAAGAAGCAAGCAATGTTTCTCTTCGTGTACGGTAATCCTGAGAAGTTGCGTGTGTATTTATACGCACAGGTTCCTGAATCTCTTTGTCTACAGCTTTATTTTCGGGGATGTCTATAGAACCTTGGGACGGTACGCACCACCCACAGCGTCTGCGCCGGAATGACTGTGATAACAAAACAACCATGCAACATACATGCACAACAATTAATAACATAAAATGAATGAAACAACTTTTAAACGGTTTCATCTCGTTTGTATTTAGTTTTAGACTTTTCGAACCCTTTACAGGTTCCGTGTTCACATAAGACTAAGGTGTTGATAGTCTTTTTAATTAAAAGTATAGCTACCTTAAAAAAACCAATGCTATTGGACACATTCAGAATACAAATATATATAATGGCAACGTTTACATTTAATAAATTAAAATGTATTATTTAAAAATACACTTGGCTTATTAATATACTCCTAACTACCATAATCTTCCACCAGTTCCAACTTTGGGAGTCTTGTATGAGACGAACTGGGAAAACAAACTGTGACAAGAAAAAGTGAATCCAGTAATTAGTCAAATAAAATCTTAACCCAGATCGCACATTGCAGAACCAAAAGTTACGGTTAGTTAATTCTTTTGTTTTATTAAAAAGACGATCGACACCTTAGCTTTACGCGAACACGGAACCTGTAAAGGGTCCGAAACGTCTAAAACTAAATACAAACACGATGAAACCGTTTAAAAGTCGTTTCATTTATGGATAGTGCGCGTGAAAATATAAGTAATCAAAACATAAAATGATTAACGTAACAAGCAGGTATTTATTAAAAAAAATGATAAGTATAATATAATTATAAAAGCTAACACAATGCCTAATTTAAATTAGTCTTTAATAACAGTGCAAGCGTTAATACAAAAAATGTGATTCGACGATACATCAATATTTTATATTAAAAAAGTTCCAACATACACAGTTTCATGAATAAAAGTTTTAATCGATATTGCTACTGAACACAAGTTAGATTTATGTGAATGCAAAACGTAACCTAAGAACCTTGTACAGTACGATTCAAAATCCGCTAAAGTTCATCGTTACATACGTATACGTTTATGGTAACACGTCATTAAAAATGAAATTTTAATTTCGCTGCGGCCTCTGGCGTTAGAGTCGTGTCGGTGTACCGCTTGTGTTAGGCAAATGCAAATCATTTTTGCTTCAACTAGGTAGTTTTTCTACGAGGTAAGGGTCGAGTGTGAGCGTGTACTCAGCCCCTTAGTGGCACGACATCATTCATTCACGATATTATCCGAATGACAGATTGCATTTACGTGGATGATTAATACGATGAAACAGGTTATTTTCAACATTTACATTTTGATATATTTGACCACGCCTATTTAGAACTGTCGGATTTATGCGGTTACAAATGTTTGGGGAGGTCCTCCGCGGTGGACGACTAGGCCGATTAATAACATATGACATCAAGGATTATGTCAGCTAAATATTATATGTATCTCTGCGTATTTTAGAAGCCTCTTAATAAGATTTACGATAAGATAATTTCGATATTTTTTTATATATTTAAATTGTCAATCAATTTAAATGAATCCTATTAAATTTTCATATTTTGTTTGACTATTTTAATTTTACAATGTTATTTTTCAGAAAATTCTTATAATTTTACCAACTAATTATTTGAATACAATAATTAGTTTATAAAAGTGAAAAGAACTTCTTTAAACAAAACATTTTTTAAGCATCTAAAAACAATACTGTATGAAAAAACCCTAATATTCCATTATATTAATAAACTTGGTTTCTTGAAAAAGAAATTATAAAAGATTCGTGTAAAGTGATTCTATATTTTTTTATAAGAAAAATTTTGTCTCAATATAGCTAAACTTAATACGTACTCACAACACACACATGCACATAGCGGAAGTAAGTATACAATCCAAAACAAATAGATAATATGGGATGACAAAAATGTATTATGAAATAGAAGAGGCATCATAACAAAGCCTTACTGTGCAACAGTTTGGCATAAATAAGTGTGGTAAAAGTTATTTCATTTCAAATAGTGCTATACAAAAAACTTAGTGATTATACTGAAAATTTTATATTTTTTATCATCACTTTGTGATAGAAAGAAAAATAAAATCGTTATTCATTCTAACACGCGACTCTATTGTAATAAGGAAAACTGCGCGTTCCAGGCACAGGAGCGTCAGCCTTGACGTACATTATGTAAATCAAATGCCTCACAAAGCTACGTAATTATTCAACTTTCGTCACTTTTGGCGGCGAACAGCCTATTTGTTTGTCCCAGCAAATGTTAATGCACACAGACAGTTCTCTCATTAATACTTAATTAGTAAGCCACTGGGACGCATAGGGGATCTCTTACTATCGATTACTTAATTATTTAGATTCAATCAGGAACAACGTTCCGTTAGTGTGTTTAGGTCGGTATGTTCATTGGAAGTGCTAATTAAACCACTTAGTAATTCAATAATTTATTTCAGGAAACCTGTCTTGTAAACAACATTTTCACTTACTGATTTTACTCGACTACGGTGAAACAATGTTTAAGGTAGCGATAGAAATGTCTCAATAATTTGCTGCTTTTAAATGCAATATGACATCCCTCTTGAAGACAAACGGTCAGTTGCACAAACGTCCATTAAGGTTTAATGAGGTTTTTAAGCTCTAAAGAATGTCAAATTTGTATGATTAATGTCCTTTTAAACTAATGACAAACTTTAATGGACGTTTGTTGTAATTGTAGTCATAATTTTCCGGCCGCTTTATATCTCTACATTCTTGCGAAATACATTACAATCTCGCGTTCTTTTATTTTTTATGTATGTAAATACTCGAGCTTTTTATTTCTGCAAAAGTTAATACAAAAACTTGAGCATATACTTAAAATGTTGTGATTATTATTAGGTGCCTCTATGGTACGAAAATGCCTCAGGGAGAAGAAAGCTGTTTCAAATAAAGTTGCTTTAAGAGCTATTCTTATTATACCGAGGTAAGTAATTGTGATCGCCTAATACCAGTAGCCTTACATACATATTCATGAATAAATTCAATCAAATACTAAAGAGAGAGCCTTAAATAAATCTAATTTCTATTGATGTGTTATTAGAAATAAGTATATGCTTATCACGAACGTTATTTTAGAAATAGATAAACACAGTTCCTTCAATGAAGATTATCAACAAAAAATAAACGGAAATGAAAAGAATGTGAATAAAGATCGATCTATTTACAAACTATCAAGATGCTAATAATATATAGACTGAGAATATAACAAAAAAATATTTACTAAGAACTGTACACAGTTCTTACTGGTTTCAGTGATTACAAAAGGCGTATTATAATTAAATCGACTTCCATTAAAGAATATTGTTTTGTCTAGAAGCAACTGTGCCCAGTCTAGAAATATTTTGCTCTTCTCAGTTGGAAGTTGATCCTACGCTAATGGAAATATTTATAGCTCTAAAAGAAATAATATTATATTCTGTTTTGAACGAGCAGAGTCTTAAATGAAAATCTATGAAATTCCAAGAGAATCTACGTGGATACTCGCCTACGCAAATTACATTGTACGTGTGGGAATAATCGATTATTACCGCTTCAATGAATGAAGCCTTGCACAGAATAACTTTTTGTTTTTAAGGTTAAATGTCATTTCATTTGGTAAAACTACCACTTTTTAATTCATCCTGTGCACCACAAGTAAATTATACAAATATTGAAACTACAACTTTTTAAAAATCTACAATTTTTCTAAATAGTGTTTTAGAAACCACGATATTGTCTCATCATGTTTTTAGTACACTTTTCGAGAATTTCGTAGCACTTTTTTGTAACTGTTTTATCGCTGTTGGTTGCAGAAATCACTACAGCGTCATCAAACTTAAAATGGTCGGGCCTTAACAGATTTCAAGTTGGGAATAGCGTCAAATCTATTGTGGTTTTATGGGCGGAAGGCATCCTTTCACGAGAACAGTTTCCATCCACTCCACCGTTAATTCCCTGGAGTTTGTCGAACCGAAAAGTTGTCGATATACCTAGAGAGCGCCTTTAAAATACCGGAAAGCTCTTGCCTCTTGTAGATGGGATAATTAACTAGCTCTTCGCACACTTATCTTATCGCCGAGATATCTTATTCTTAGATAATCGAGACTTCAGTGTCCTCTACAACGTACTTTAGTCATTGCATTTGAAGAGCTTTTGGTGACAAAGAGTAGATGTGTTGTACCTTGACTATGAATGAGTTGAAGTTGACTATGAGGTGTTACTTCAGAGAATCTTTTCCTTTTTATTTATAATATTTCATCGCAAAGGTATAGTTTTATATATAACATTTATTAAATACCGGTCAACATTTAACCAATGGTTATTTTTGTGAAGATGTTACGCTGGGGTGGGGAAGAAATACCATAAATATTATGAAATTGAACGATTGCATTCGTTCGATGATTGGCAATCTTGAAGATGCTCTATATAGGGACAAAACACGTTAAGAGTAATAGTAGGAGTAGGTTGCAAGATTTATTGTCCCTTGTGCATCTCTACTTATTTGGGATTAGTGTATTGAGTGTAGTAATTGCAATGAATTTTCGCAAGGTAACGCTTAATTATGTTATATAGTGATAAAATCAGCACCTCGTACCAATTAATTTTATTCTGAATTTGGAGACAGCAAGACACCTAATTTCAAGTTGATTATGTTGTTTTAGTTAAGTATCTAAATTTATAAGAATACTGAGATACGGCTAAGGATTATGATTATCTACATTTAACTAAATTAACATTGGTAGAAGTTCATAACATAATAATTATGGATAATGAAGATGAGTTTCGTACGATAAGGATTTCGCCTACAGTATCATTATTTAGTGTTCTATTCTAGCCAACCTTCTTATAATCACATTGGTGTATAAGAGCATATATCTCAATGAGCGAAACGATTGAGGTATGCATGAGTTTCTAATGAGGATTGTTATGTGTTTTTTTGCTTATACTGGATGTTACCTTGCCGCAAGCCTTGCATTTGCCCTTTTCAGAGCGGCGATGCACCCAGTGGTGGTGGGTTATTGTCTGTTCGCGGTACTGCCTTATGCCGACGTCTCGGAAGGTGGGTTTGCATGTGAACTGCACGCGATCCATCAGGATGTCAATGCAGGCTGTGTGAGCAACGATCTTGCACGCTGAACACTTCATCCTGGAACCGTGTTTCTGAAAAGAAAGCAAAAAGTAGTTTTACGATTTGGCTTTTGACAAAATTCTGGCTATAATTACAAATATGTTTTGATTAAATATAATATTTTAAAATACGAATTCACCGCAAAAGCTTGCATTTAGAAACAATAAGTATTATTTAAAAATTATTTACTGCTTACTACAAAGAGTAATTGACTAACTAGTTTTCACTTATTAAATTGTAATTTACATAGCAAAATCTCTATAGTGAATATATAACAACTCAAAGGCTGTTAACAACTTAACAAAAACCTTTTTTATTTACTGGCTTAATTATTACTAGAACCTAGTTATTACGTCACATCTTATTTTACTTATTTATTTATTTTCGATATATCATCGACAATTATTTAAAAGTCGAAAATGAGTATTGCGTAAATAATAATTTGCTGATCCAACAATGATTATTGAATTTAATTATGAAATTATAATTTGTGCTTGAAATATTCCCATACCGCATAATATCGATATTATATTTGCGGTTAAATAAGTTATCTATTCTCGAACAATATACTGTTATATGTATGTGGTCGAGCTTTAATGGCGGAGCTGGGTCAGCTATCTCCGAAATTGGAATTTGCTAATTAGTTATGAAAATCGATTAATATTAATATACTAACACCCAGTTGCATAAACTTCCGTTAAATGTCACTAGTTAAAAGCGACATTACCGATACAAATTTCCAAATTAAGAACATTCATTAAAAGTCGTTATAAAACCCTAATGTATGTTTGTGCAACTGGCTATAAATTACTCATTTGATTTTTAATGTCACTTTAAACTAACGACAATTTTAATGGATGTTTAAGCAACAAGGGATTATTCTCATACTTTAAAATGACTAAGACCCTAAAGAACTTTTATAATATCTAGAACAATTTAAAATGATTAAAACACTAGAACGTTTTATAAACTAAATGACTTTATCAGCTTTTTCCCCTCTTTTTATCAGTTTTGTCCCTCGCTCAAAGCAAACCTGTTTCACGAATCACTTCACTCTGTCAGGCCAATTCGAGAGTTTAGTCAGTTGAATTTAAAACTTACTACGCAAGCTCGGATTGCAAAAGGTCATGGGTTCAAGTCTCAGAGTGCCAGGGAAAAAGTGGACTATTAAAGCATTTTTCTTTAAGAATATTTTTCAATATAGCATTGTAAATGCAAAATTAATAATAATAATAATAATATTTTTTTATAATAGTATTTTTTTACATAGTCGTTGCTAGCCGATTGAAAAGAAAGAGATTTGGAGATAGAAAATCTTTAGGTATATATGAGGTTATTCATGTAATTTTGTATTTTATTGCATGCTATCATAACTTATAGATATGAAGTAATATGCCCACTCAAGTTTACTATTTATTTGATAGTTTCCATACGTCAACTTGTTTGCAAGTTACTTTGAAGCTTATTTTAATCTAAATAATTAATCTGACTCGTTGGTTTCATTACACAAATAGTGCTATTCCAACCCACACCCTCATAGGAATCCAATTGGAACAAGATTCTAATAATACACTACGGAAAGTTTGAAACAACCGTAGTCGAACTTCTGGATCGTTTCCCGTAGCTAACAAGCTATATCTACGTAGCGTGTAACCCGTAGCGAGGCAATTATCGTTCGTAGCGTTACATTAAGTGACCGAAAATTGAAGATGAGGCGCTCGCAAACAATTTTGCCCATCTATTGAATCTTTTAAACCTTTAATTAAGTTTGCTTCTTTAATAGAAGCTTTATGGAAATATGTCATGAATATTTATGTGTAAAAACTCTTTTATAACATAGCTACTTTGAAAGCTCACATCAATTCAATATTTTGTTTTTCTGTGAATAATAAAAATGACTTTTATTGATAAAATGTTACCTAACATTTGTAGTAATGCTATTGACTCATTGTAAAATGTTAATTTAAAGAAACAATGCAAGTTCATTATCATGAAAGGCCGGTGCTGGTTTATTTTGCATGCCAATGACTACCGGTGCGGTCACAGCGGTCATACGTATTTTTACGGCTGCCTATCTTTTATTGCGGTCACGTTTTCGGTAGCTCTTATTACGTGTGGCAATTTGAGTCTACCAAAGTCATGTTGTATTCAAAATTATACACTGAAATTATCGTTTCCATATATTGGACGGTGGTTAAACGTATTTCTTTTATTACTTTACCTAATTATTTATATTTATAAATGAATAAAAATTAAATACTGTCGATAAATAAGTTTATTTATCACTTGGGAACTAATGCATTATTAAGGTACTTTATTTGAGTTTTGGAAACTTCGTTTACAAAACAAAACTTAGGAAAGTAAGTACCTAATTAATTTGAAAAAAATTTTTCTAGGTTTAATGCACGTAGAGTAGCTCGATGGCGTAGTGGATAAGCACTATGGCCCGCGAACGCTGTTGTTAAGCAACTTTCGCAAGGGTCGGTCATGAGATCGGTATCTCGAGATACTCATTGCTTCAGAAGGCACGTTAATTCGTTGGTCCCGGCTGCATTTGCAGTCGTTAATGCCCTCTAATCTGCAATGGGCCAGCGTGGAGTGTCATGGCCCATCCTCTTTAACCATTCACAAGCAAGGCCTGACGTAAAAGGGCAGCTGATGAATGTTGGTTAAATGATTGAAGGAGATGCCATATCGGTTGACGTTTATAGTACTGTGATTTGCCGATATTGATGAATTCACAACCGCAACAATTAGACCCAAAACAAAATGAAAAAGTAAAATGTTATTTTAATTAAACAGCTTTACAATGGCGATCTCAAGAAGACTATCATAAAAGTTAGCAATTTATAAAGGCAAACAAAAAAATAATTTCCTGAGGAGCCTCCAAAAATTTGTAAGGAACTATTGAAAAGGCTGTTTGCGCAACGACAGGAAGTACAATGATTGAACTTACTATTTATTTCAACCTAAAATATAGAGATTCGGTGAGTAAATAATGAAAATATTCTCTTATTTATTTCTCATTATTGTCACAAAAATACAAACATCAAGAAAACATTGAAAAGAAAATACTTTTTGTCAGGATGTTTAGTCTACTAGTAGATTTCTATATTTATTGGTTAGAACGGTTGGAAGAGCATTAGTTCTAACGAAGACAAGGCAGTAAATATTCGATACGAAATACTTTTTGTCCATCAATAATTAATAACTTTTTATACGTTTTTCCGATAAGTTCTTGTATTTATAAAAAAATATATGGCAACAAATTTCCTAAATGTAATTAAGTTAAAAGGTGAACTGTCACAGCTAATAAGAGAAATAAACAAGGTGAAATAAAAAGAAAAATCGAATTATATTACTTATTCGGTTATTTACGGTGACGGTTTGTAGCCGGTATCTTAAATTTTACAATGGAACATAATTATCTCAATAGCATATTTTTTTAAATATAGCTTTAAACCAACCTACTGTTCGTGTATAAATTAAACAGGTACCTATTTATTTGACAAGGAAATACAAAAATAAGAGAATAATCAGAAGTTTATTTTAAAATAATTCATCATCATCATCATCATCACTTCAGCCGAGAGACGCCCACTGCTGGACATAGTCCTCCCCCAAAGATTTCCAAAGCGATCGGTCCTGCGCCTCCCGCATCCATTTATTTATTAGATATAATATAATAATTAGATTTAAACATATTTTATTGGACAAAAAAAGTAACATACTTTAAGATATGTCTAAAGCTTGAATGCATAGTCGAGAGGAGTAATTACTTGAAAAAATGTCATAACTTAAGCAACTATTTTTAACCAAAAGACGAGAATTTGAATTAAATAAAAATCGTAAATAGTTAATAATAATAGTATTCTTACCCTTGATAAAATCTTACTTCAATCAAAATTTTGTTTATTTGGTAAAAATATCTCTAAAAATTATGACATATTTTCAAGTAATTATGTCTCTCGACTATAGATAGGAGTGTATTTGGACTTCCTTTATTAACGATCAAATGTTTTGCAACGTTTTAAAATATTTGATCAATTTTGCATTCACAATGCTATACTGAAAAATATCTTTTCAATGCATTTGCTCATAAAGCGTTTTTTTTTTAATCCATTGTAAACACCGAAAGTGAGTCTTTAAACACGTGTTAAATAAAAATGTACTGAAATCCTTTACTGCACACGTGCTTAAAAGTATTTTTTAAATATTTTTTGGCCGAGCACCAAAGAAATTAAAAAAAAAAATGATGAAAATATGTCAAACTTTAGAGGTAAAAGTATTTCAATGAGCCTAGAACGAATATTTTCAAATAAAAATGTATGCCACGAAAACATGTTCAAATATCACGTTTAATTTCAACAAATAATTTTTACCTTTAATACATACTTAGTTTTATTAAATTTGTTTTATTTCCTCGCAAAAAGCATTGAAAAATGTTGTAAGAAACTTGAGCGTAAAAGGTTTTGCGAACTCGTGCCAATGAAAACCCTCGCTACGCTCGTGTTTTCAATTGGGCCCTTTTTCGTAAAACCTTACTTTCGCACTCGTATCTTAAATAACTATTAATGAAAAATGCTTAAAAAGTTTCGCCGGTCCTGTTAGCAGTCGCCCGGATTGCGAATGGATTTGAGTTCCATCTCAGCGTATCAGGAACAAAGCAGTTTTTTTAAGCAATTCTCATTAAGAATATTTTTCAGTATACCATTGTAAATGAATTTCCATCTTTATCGAAAGTTTATATATTGGCAAAAATATATATTTCAACTGTTCGAGTAGATTGCTTGAACATTGATGAAAATACGCTCTGTAGTAGCAAAGAAGTAACAAGTATTGAAAATTCGTCTGTCCTGTTAGGTCCTGGGTAGCTCAGTGGTTAGAGCAGTCGCCCGGATCGCGAAAGATCATGGGTTCGAGTCCTATCTTAGAGTGCCAGGGAGACAGTGGATTTTATAAGAATTTTTTATTATGAACATTTTTCAGCATAGCATTATTGATGGCCAGACTAAGTAGTCATTCAAAAGGA